AGGTGAAACTCACCAAGCAGATGGGTGACCACCCCACTAACTGCCCAGGCCTGCTGGCCCCCAGGCTGGGCTGGGGAAGTATCTCTTCAGAAGGCTCACCCTCAAGCACCACTAGGAGCTTTGGAAGCTGAAGCTTTGAGCGGCCCCTCTGCATTCATCCCCCTGCTGTCTTTTGCCTGAGCCACTCCCTGAAACCACCAAGCATCCTTTTAACCACCCTGGAGCCCTCTCCCATGCATCGGACCAAACGGAAACAAAAAAGCTTTTTGCAGCTTAAAAAGAAAGAAAAGGAGATATTTTGGGTACCTTACTAAAGCATTTTCAACTTTTGTTTCATTCCTCAAACCACGTGCTGTGGGCCCCGAGCCCCACTCGCCTTGATTCCCAGCCAGCTTATCAGCACAGGGAAGGAGTTACATTCTCAAATAACCAGGCAAGAGGCTTGCTATGGAGCAGGAAGAGAAAATGGAAAAAATGAGTTTATTTTCAGACATGCTGCTTTCTCCCCCAAACCTGGACTTCTCCCCTGGCCCTCCCCTCTCCTCCAGCCAGGGCGCTGACCCACGCATCTGCCCGTGGGGCAGGCGGCGAGGAGCACAGCCCGGTGTCCCGGGAGGGAGGTCTACCCACGCGTCCGCGGGAGGGCCGGGCTGTCAATAGGGCGGCAACAGGAAGAAGTGCGGTGGCGGCAGCGGAGGCGGCAGGGGCGGGGGGAAGGGGGGCGGCGGCCTGGACTCGCGGGGCGCCGGCGGCGCCAGCAGGCTGAAGGGCGAGGGCCGCGCGGGCAGCGGCGGCAGCGGCTGCGGGGGCGCCTCGGCTATGAGCGGCGGGCGGCCGCGCGCGCCCACCGGCCCGGGGGTGGCAGCGATCGCGGTCTCCGGGAGCGGCGGCAGCGGCAGGTGCGTGGGTCGCGGCGCTGGCGCCGGCAGGCGCGGTAGGTGCTGCAGGGCAAGAGCGGATGCGGGCGGCGGGGGAACGCAAGCCTCGGGCGGCAGCTCGGGCAACGCCAGGTGGGCGCCGGGGCCCCAGGGCGCCAGCGGCTCCGGCCGCAGCGGGAGCGAGGGCAGCGGAGGCAGCTCAGCCAGGGCGAGCGCCGAAGGCGGCGGCGGCCCGGGCCGGAGGTCGGGAGGGAGGCCGGGGAGCGGCGGGTGCGGCAGGGTCGGCGCGGGCGGCGGGGTCAGCGAGAGCGACGCGCGGGCCCGGCCCGGCCGTGAGCGGGCGCGGGCGAGCCGCGGGTGCGAGCGGGAGCGAGAGAACCGCGTCGCCAGCTTGAGTGTCGTCGCCGTCGCCGTCGCCCCTGCGCCCGGGCGCCGCTCGCGCCTCTCGTCCGCGCTTCTTCCCTCCGGCTGGGGCCCGCGGAGTGTAGGCGGGCCGCCCGGCCAATCGGAGCCGTGCACCGACGCGTTCCAGCCAATCAAGAGACAGTGTGCCGACGGTCTACGCATCTTCTCCCCGGCGGGCACTAGCGATCCCTGGCAGCCAATCAGAGGCGGCAGCGCTCTCTGTCTCGGGTCCAGCCTATCACCGTGTCCTCCGGCGCCGCACGCTCCACGGCCTGCTTGCCCCGACGGCAGGCGCTGCACACGCACGAGGGGCGCCCCCACCTGGCCCGAGGGACCCTGAGCCGCTGCAGGTCCCTGGACCGACACCGCCCACCCACCTGCGGCGGCCGCTGCGGAGCGTGTGTGGCTCTCCTCTTTGGTCATGTTCTTAGTAATTCCGGACGGAGGTGCCTGCGTGTGGGCAAGATCTACGCAGATTTCCACGTAGTTATCTTTTTAAAAATATATATTTTATTGATTTTTTACAGAGAGGAAGGGAGAGGGACAGAGAGTTAGGAACATCGATCAGCTGCCTCTTGCACACCCCCTACTGGGGATGTGCCCGCAACCAAGGTACATGCCCTTGACCGGAATCGAACCTGGGACTCTTCAGCCCGCAGGCCGACGCTCTATCCTCTGAGCCAAACCGGTTAGGGCTCCACGTAGTTATCTTATAGAAAAGATAAAAGCATATTAATTCTGCCCTGGCCGGTATGGCTCACTTGGAGTGCTTAGGAAGATGTTACTGATTAGATTTCCAATAGAGCATCGGCCCCATAGGGTCGCGGGTTCGATTCCTGGTCAGGGCATACACCCAGGTTGTGGGTTCGATCTCTAGTCGGATGCATACAGGAGGCAACCGAATCAATGAAAAACATATCCTCTGGTGAGGATTTTTTTTTAGCCCTGACTGGTTTGGCTCAGTGGACAGAGCGACGGCCTGCGGACTGAAGGGTCCCAGATTCGATTCCGGTCAAGGGCATGTACCTTGGTTGCAGGCACATCCCCAGTAGGGTGTGTGCAGGAGGCAGCTGATCGATGTTTCTAACTCTCTATCCCTCTCCCTTCCTCTCTGTAAAAAAAAATCAATAAAATATATATTTAAAATTAAAACTATATTAATTCAATAGCAAAGCTTGACTGACATGTAGCATTTAATATTGTTAAGAATAGTAAATGACATGGGTGAAAATCATTAAATAAAAAGAATGGTCAATTTATTTAAATTCGGAATATAGAAATCTTTATAATATTAGAACTTTTCTAGGTGGGTACTGCCCTCAGAGACAGCCTGCTCAGTGGTGCCTGTGCCCAGGTGTTGGCTCCTACTCCTGTTCTCCAGTAAAGAGATGATGTGGTTTATTCCATACCTCAGGGAAAAGAAATACATGAGGAGACATTTTGGATATTTTAAAGAATCAGTGGTTCTGTGAAAAAGCAAAAGTCTATATGATTCTCAAATACAGCAAAATCAAATGAGGGAAATTAGGCTGGAATTCCAATGATGTTTACAGAATCTCCCAAAGGTTGATCCCCAAAACATTGTGCATACTGCAGTAACATTTTGATCTCCACCCAAGTTATCGTAAACCAGGCCATAAGATGAACTGAGTTCCTCATAGAGTGCCAAGTCCCATCAACTCTATTCAACTTGAATTCTTTTTTTTTCTCTTTTAAAAAATGTTATTAATTTCTAGAGAGAGAGGAAGGGACAGAAGAGAAAGAAACATCAATATGAGAGCAGAACGTGGATTGGCTGCCACTGGGGATTGAGCCCTCAATCTAGTCATGACCTGTGACCTCCTGGTTCTTAGGTCGATGCTCACACACTGAGCCATGCTGGCCTGGCCAACTTGAATTCTTCAGCTAAAACTTCACCAGGTTGCAAGAAGGGGTGTGGGTTTGGAAAGACTCAGAACACACTGGTCCTGTAACTGGGTCAAAGGTCAGACAGAATAGGGGGTCAATTCCCAACCTCCATTCCAGACCCAGCCTAGGAGAGTAATTTGTACTGCATTTCTGGGTGAGTCAATTTGTAATCGTGAGATGAGAAAATAAAGTGATCCAGCAGTACTGATACTGTAGAGTGGGTTAGTAACTGGTTTTTTAATCCAGTTACTAATGTTTTTTGAAAACATTCAGTAATCTGAGATAACAAATATCTCATTTATTCATTTCCAGGAGTGCTTAGGAAGATGTTACTGATTAGATTCGCCCACACTCTCCACCAAGTAGATTATGTGTATATAATAGTTTGAAATACCTAAGGGAATTGAATTAATCAGACTTGTAGGACAAGTAAAATGTTTAGGGAGGGGGCATCGATCTGTCAAATTTATAATCTAATGGAACATTAATCAAAGAATGTGAAAGTGAATTTTACATCCAAATTATAAGATTAATCAGTAAAATGATGTCCAGAAGCAAGTGTAAGGGCTTAAGGAAAAAGATTTTAGTTTAATAACTCTAATAAATTGTTATAAATTAAGACACAAATAATACACAAGCTCCCTAACTTGGATGTGGCTCTCCCAATAGATTGTTGCCAAGCGATGCCCCCTCTCCAAAGGCAGGCCCGAATCTGTTCTGTTCTCATGGTCTCTCCCATCAGAGCAAAGCCCATAGCACACAGCCACACAGTTTGTTGAATGAATGAATGAATAAATGAATGAATGAATGGGGTACAGAGTGGAGACTGTAGGCCCAGGGGGCTCTAACCCCAGGCAGCCCATCCCACCCCTCACCCCGCCACGGCACACAAAGGCAAAAAGAGAAGCACATCGCCTTTATTAATACTTCCAGCCCGCAAGCAACTCCAGGCCAGAGACCAAGCCTAAGGGTCTGGCCGTCCTTGCCAAGCAGACCAGGCTCTCAGGATGACAGTGGATCAGCTCAGGGGCTCAGCATTTCCCAAAAGGGCAGTGGCCTGGGAAGAGGTAGAGCAGAGCTCTGGTGAGGTGCCCCCTCCTCGCCTCCTGGTGAAACGAGCCCTCTCCCTCCTCTGGTCTCTGAGGTCAGTCACTCAGCAGATGACTCCAGCTGGTCTGAGAGCCTGCCCTCCCTCCTAAGGGCTGGGGGCATCCCCAAGTGCGGCTTGAAAGGGTGACAATGGTGGCATGGGGAGAGTGGGGAACAGGGCCGCGGGCTCCCCCTCACCTCCATAGCCATTTTCCAGCCGGCCACTGCTGCCTCGCTTCACCTCAGGGCCTCCTAAGGCACAAACAAGCCAGGGGACCCGGGTCACAGAACTTTTCAGTGCTCCCCCAGCTTCATCCCAGGCCCTGGGAGAACCCCACTCACCAAAGGGTCTGGGGCCCAGCTCTGGCCTCAGCTGCTCATAGGGCCCTGGAGATAGGGACGGAAGGTAGAGCACTGCATCCCTGATGGCACTTGATTTGGTCTGTCACCTCCTCATCTTAGTCCAGGTGCCAGGCTCGTGCTCAGGGCCCCCTGCTCTCCCTATCCCTCCTCCAGTCCCATTCATTCCTGTCCCCCTCATACTTCCTCCACCATCAATGTCCCTTCCATCTCCATAGGGCTATGGGGTGGGCCTGGGCCCAGGACCCAGCTCCCTAAAGCCACCCCTCTTCCCCCCTCAATGTTCTTCCACACACCCCATTACCTGGCTGGCTTTCGACCCCTGGATATGCACCTCCGGCCCCATATCCAGGCTTCCAGGCAGCCCCCCAAGGCTGGAGGGAGGGCCAAGGAGAGCCCCTCAAAGCCTCAGTCTGACCTGCAGGAGGAGAGCTTCTGTGGGAACCACTGTCCACTGGACCTGAACATCCAGATGCCCCAGTCCTCCCTGGGCCTCAGAGCCCCCCAACCCCCAGGAGCCCTTGCCAGGGTCCACTCTGCTCCCTGAACTCTCGTTTCTTACCATTTCCTTCAGAGGCCGGAGCTGCGGCTTTGGGGTACACCAGCGCTTCCTCACCATACCCTGCGCGAGATCCATGTGATTCATTCCTGACCAGACCTTGATGTCCCTTCCCCTCACCCCCTGCACTCTGTCCCCCGGGGCCCAACTCACCGTTTCTAAAGCCATTGGCCCCAGAGAACCCTGAGGAGGAAAGAAGTCAGAGGCATGAACAGCCCCTGAGCCGGGAGCCCCTCCAACCTCCCCAACCCCACCCTTAGGCACCTGGCTGCAGGAGGGCCTTGGCGAAGACCCCGGCTCCCAGACCAGCATTCCCGTAACTAAAACCTGCAGGAGACAGATTGGAGAGGGGCTGGGAGGGGGGCTGAGGGTGGACAGCAGTGGGGAAGCCAGGGTGACCAGCTCATGGAGAGGCAGACTGACTCACACAGGTCACCTGGAGAGGGCCTCTCACATCCCCCACCCTCAGCACGCTGACCCTGTCAACCTCCTGGAAGCCTTCCCCGGCTCCTCTCTGGGCAGCTTCCCTTCCCTCCTGGCCTCGGTCTGTCACTCCACCCTCGCCTGAAATAAGACGGCACCTGGTCTGGCCACCACTGTAGCCCAATGAATAGTAAATATGGGCTGGGTGAATAAGGAAAGAGACAGACATGACAAAGGTAGCAACAAGGGGGACTCATCATGAAGGAGGTGCCAGGCTGTGCCCAAGATGAGGCCTGGGCGGGAGGTGGGGCGGGGGGGGGGGGGCTCACCAACTTTCTGAGGTTTGAGGCCTTCACCAAAGCCTAGAGTAGAGGAAATGGGGGTCAGAGGTGGGGGGCGGGGTCAGAGGTGGGGGGCGGGGTCAGAGGTGGGGTTCGGGGTCAGAGATGGCCACAGGGTGGGGATGGGATGGGAGGAGGAAGAACTCAGACGAGGGCCTCCTCACCCAGTTCTGCTCCTGGTCCGTAGCCATTTGAAGGGTGGAACCCTGTGAAGAGAACTGAGCTCAGGGGGGAGGACCACACTTTCCCAAGGATGGACCTTAGGAACTCTGAGGAGGAAGGAGGGATCCTTTCTACCCACAGGGAGAGGGGTCAGAATAACTGAGTTTAGAAAGCAGCAAGAGAGAAGGAGGGCAGACTTGGGGGGGACCTCCCTGGCCCGAACAGCTGAGGCAGCCTGGGCATAGGGTGATGGGGGAGTGACCCTGATCTGGATGGGCACAGAGGCGAGCAGACTCACACCTGCTTTCTGAGGCTTCAGTCCCCACTGGATGGCTGGCGTCGGTGCTAGGAAGAAAACCAGGGGACAGGAGTGAGCCAGGGCCAGGCAGTTTGGGACTGCCACAGCCTGCCATGTGGGGGACAGGCGCTTGGGGGAGCTGCCATATTGGGGGTCACCTGGGTCTCCGAGCCAGAGTTCAGGCTTTTCCTCAGTTGGCTCACAACAAGCCTCACTCTCAGGTGAAGAATGGGCATGGGGGCTTCTGAGCAGCCCAGCCAGGCCCAGGTACACCTCTCTCTCCCCCCATTGCCACCCTCTCCACACTGACCTGGGAACTTGCCGTTCTGCGCTGGGGCGGGGGGCTGGGCTTTGGAGCCCCAGCCCCCTGCTTTGTCAGAAGGGCCTCCGGGAGTGGGAAGCCCATTGCAGGGACCTAGATGGGAGGAGGGAGGGGGCCGTGAGCCCAGACGGGCCTGGGTCCGGCCAGTCCACCAGCCTGCAGTAGCTTCTAGGGCAGACACAGCTCCCAAGGGGGGGGGCATTGGCCAGGACAGAAAAGGCCCAGTTCCTCTGGGCCACAACCTGCTCTGGGGACCAGGGGACCCAGCCACCTGACATGGTTTCTGCTAGTTGCCCACCCAGCCCCAAGGCCTGTCAGCCTACCCCCCTTGCCCCTGGGGCCTCACCTGCCTGGGCCCCCAGCCCATTTCTGCTGCCATATCCTGGAGAGGAAAAGCAGGGATGTTAGGGGTACTGGGGGCGGGGGTCCTGGAAGGAGCCATATGAGAAGGTACAGGACTGAGATAGGGGCTCTCGCACTTGCCTGGCTTCTGAGGTTTCACGCCCCCTTCCAGACCTGCAGGAGAAGCAGAGAGACAGCTTCGGAGGGCAGCCCCTCCCCAGAGGGAGCCCTCTCTACCTGACACTGAGGCCCTCATGTACTCACCAGGCGGGAGCCCGTTTCCTGGTGTGTATCCTGCGAGGGAGAGCAGGAATGAGGGCGGGGGCTGGGGTGGGGGGAGACTTCAGGTGGAGATGGGAGAGGGGCAGGGTGGGCTCACCTGGCTTTGGAGGGCTCATGCCCCCTGCTAGGCCTGGGGAGAGACAGATGGAGGCTGAGTGACAGATGGACGCCATTCTGCCCCTTCTCTTTCCCAAGACGGAACTCTTTGCTCCACGGGACCCTGTGACATCACTTCCCCTCCACCTTCCAGAGCTCCATGCCTGCCCTGCCTCCCCCATCTGGCTGGGCCCCTTCCTTCGGGAAGGCTCCATCCAGCTCCCAGCCCATTCCTGTAAACTGGGGAGACAGGCTGGGGGCTTTGAGGGGTCACAGATGAAGGGAATAGATAGTTTCTGGAGGTAGAGAGTAGGGGGGTCCAATTCTGGCACTAGTTTCAATTCTGGGGTTTTTTCCAACATCACTGAGCAATTTTCGGGTACCAGCTGGGTGTCCTACAATTCTGACCCTACCTACCTGGAGGTGGCATCAGATCCCACTGGTTAAGGGCTCAGTCCCACAATACTGTTCCCTCCTCCCACTTCTGCCCATTGCCAATCCAGGTTGTCATCTGTGCTTCTGACCAACCAGCTCTATAAATCGGAAGTTCCGATGACCCCCTCTTTGGGTTCAATTAATCTTTTAGAGCAGTGGTTCTCAACCTTCCTAATGCCGGAATACAGTTCCTCATGTTGTGGTGACCCCCAATTTCATTGTTACAAATTGAACATAATGAAAGCATAGTGATTCATCACAAAAACAATATGTAATTATATATGTGTTTTCCGATGGTCTTAGGCGACCCCTGTGAAAGGGTCGTTTGACCCCCAAAGGGGTCGCGACCCACAGGTTGAGAACCGCTGTTTAGAGTGGCTCCCAGAACTTAGGTATATTATGAAAGGATACAGCTCAGAAACAGCCAGATGAACAAAATGTATGGGATAGGTTTGTATGTGAGACGGCATTCGGAGCTTCCATGCTCCAGCCCATCACCCTTCTCTCCACACCCCACCCCCTTCACCAACCCGAAAGGACGAAAGGACGCTCTCCCAACCCTGTCCTTGGGGGTTTTTACAGAGGCTTCCTTACAAGCAAAGGGGTGGGATTAAAAGTTACAACCCTCCAATCACAAGGTGGCAACCGGCCCCAGGGGCTTTCCAAAAGTCACCTCATTAACACAACAAAAGAACTTAGGAAATTCCAAGGCTTTTAGAGCCAGCTCTGTGCCAGGAATGGGAGAAGACCAAGTATATATTTCTTACCATAAATCACAGTATCACAGTGTGGATCAAAAGGAAGGGTTTACCTGGCTTCTGAGGCCTCATGCCCTCACCAATGCCTGGAGAAGAGAGGGGAGCAGGTGAGGTGCCCCTTACCCACCCACTGGGCCTCTCCTCTAGAACTCAGGCTCCCCAGGGCCCACTCCACTACCTGGTCCCTGGCTGATGGGAGCCACAGGCCTGTGCGGGCAGGAGAGGGGGAGGCAGGAGGCGGGGAACTGGGCTGCCTTTCCTCCCAGCTTAGGAACCAGAAGCCCTGAGGTCTCTCCTGCCTCCTGCCACCCCCATTCAATTCTCCAAGTCTGGTGGGGCCCGTGAGAGGACCATGAGACAGGATCTGGGTGAAGACACCAGCTCCCTCCAAGGGCCGCCTCCTCTCCTCCTTCCGGCCTCTCTCAGCCCCTCAGTCCCCATCTGTTTTGTAGCCATCCTGAGCAGGGGCCAGTGGGGCGGGAAGGATGAACAGGAGACTTGGGGCCCTGGCTAAGGTGGGGTAAAGGCTGGCAGGCAGCCAAGCCAGAACCAGGGATCATGGAGGTTGCCCCAGGCCTCTTTTAATCATTTACCAATCCGGCCCCTCAAAGGCCTGAAGGGAGGTGGGAGAGGACACGCAGATGCGGATGCCCACCTCAGACCCCACCAGTCCCAGCAGCTGGGCTCCCAGCCCATTCCCGAATCCCAGAAGAAAGCCAGGCAGGGGTGAGGCTCACCTGGCTTCTGGGGTTTCATAGCCGCTCCAAAGCCTGGTGGGGAGAGAAGCAGTAGGTAAGGAACCCTGGCCCCATCCCTGCGCCTCCCCAGAGCCCCAGCTCATCCCTACCTGGTCCATAGCCATTCTGAGCTGCAGGGCCTGTGGGGAGAATCGGGGGGAACCATAAAGCTGGCTGTGGGGCTGAGGGGCTGAGGCCAGCCCTGGGGGTCCCCTGGTCTTGCCTCCCACTTCTCTCCCCATGGTCCTTGGCGCCCTGACACCCTTCACTCCTGAAGCAGGGAGTGTCCCTCTTGTTAAAGGTAAGCAGACCCCGCCCCAAGCATTAGTGCTGAGGAAGGTGGTGCCAGAGAGAGAGGCCTGAGAAAAATGAGGAGGACAGGGTGGCTGTCCTCTCACCTGGCCCAGGGCTTTCCCACCCCTTCCCAGGCCTGGGAGGCAGACAGGCTGACAGCCTCTGCCAGGCCTCCAGCTCTTGCTCCCGCCCCCTCCCACCCCCCTCAAGCCCCCCGACCACTCAGGACCAAGCCCAGCTGCCCTCACCTGCTGGGGCTCCCAGTCCATTTCCATGACCATATCCTGGGGAGGAAAAACAGGGGTGGCATGAGGGGCAGTATGTGGAGGGGTTCAGTAGAAGCAGGACAGAGACAGGCAGCCTCAGAGAAGAGGCGAGGGTGTGGGGGGGTCTTTCCCTCACCTGGTTTCTGCGGGTTCACTCCCCCTCCCAGGCCACAGGCCAACCCTCCAACTCCCCACTACAGGTCACCTAGTTCTCTGTGCCCCGCTCCCAGACCCCTGCCCCAGTCCCTAACCCACCCCCTCCCTCTAAGAAGCCTGGGCTCCTGCCCCACAGAAGGCCCCGCTGGCTGCAGATCCTGGAGAGAGACAGGGTGTGAGTGGGGTGCTCTGGCTTCAGAGGGCACATGAACAGAGACACGACTACTGCAGGACTCACCTGGCTTCTGGGGCTTCATGCCTCCCCCAAAGCCTGAAAGGATTTGGGAGCAGGTGAGGGACTCGGGAGCCCCTCTCAGGCCTCCCCAGGTTCCTGCCCGCTCTACTCCTACCTGCTCCAAATCCGTTCTGGGTTGCTGGGCCTGGGGAAAAGGGAGGGTGAGCTGAGGGCTGGGGGTCTGGCTGAGGTAGAGGTAAAGGTGCCCCCTCTTAGGCCAAGTCAGAAAGCTGGGATTCTAGAGGCTTCCAACTAAGTGCTCCCTTAATTATTCACCAGTCCTGCCCCTCAGAGGCCTGGGAGGGAGGCAGGAGAAGACACCCAGACATAGACCCCCTCTCAGTAACACCTGGCTGGGCCCCAAGCCTGTGCCCATTCCCATTCCCGAATCCTGGGGTCACAGATTCGGGTGTGAGTGTGAATGAGGGGAGGGGAGCTCAGGGTTTGGGGAGGTGGAGAGAAAAGGCTGGGGTGAGGCTCACCTGGCTTCTGGGGTTTCATAGCTGCTCCAAAGCCTGGTGGAGAGACAGGCAGCAGGTGAGGGTCCTTGGCCCCATCCCTGCGCCTTCCCAGAGCCCAGGCCTACCCCTACCTGGTCCATAGCCATTCAGAGCTGCAGGGCCTGTGGGGAGAAGGTGGGGGAACCATAAAGCTGGCTGTGGGGCTGAGGGGCTGAGGGGCTGAGGCCAGCCCTGGGGGTCCCCTGGTCTTGCCTCCCACTTCTCTCCCATGGTCCTTGGGGCCCTGACACCCTTCACTCCTGAAGCAGGGAGTGTCCCTCTTGTTAGAGGTAAGCAGACCCCGCTCCATGCATTAGTGCTGAGGAAGGTGGTGCCAGAGAGAGAGGCCTGAGAAAAATGAGGAGGACAGGAGGCTGTCCTCTCACCTGGCCCAGGGCTTTCCCACCCCTTCCCAGGCCTGGGAGGCAGAGAGACTGACAGCCTCTGCCAGGCCTCCAGCCCGTGCTCCTGTCCCCCACCCCCCACCCCCACCCCCACACCCCACCCCTCAGGACCAAGCCCAGCTGCCCTCACCTGCTGGGGCTCCCAGTCCATTTCCATGACCATATCCTGGGGAGGAAAAACAGGGGTGGCATGAGGGGCAGTATGTGGAGGGGTTCAGTAGAAGCAGGACAGAGACAGGCAGCCTCAGAGAAGAGGCGAGGGTGTGGGGGGTCTTTCCCTCACCTGGTTTCTGCGGGTTCACTCCCCCTCCCAGGCCACAGGCCAACCCTTCATCTCCCCACTACAGGGCACCTAGTTCTCTGGCCGGACCTTCCGCCCCCAGGCCCCTACTCCAGTCCCTAACTGTGGGAAGCTGTCTATTGTCTTCACTAGGGGAGAGGTGTGGACAAGGAGCCCGGAAGGCTGGTGACCCTTGAAGCCCTGGCAAAGGTCAGAGCTGTGCACCCGCTGTTAGTCCAGACAATGGTCGCTGAAGCAACTTCCCTATTTATTATTATATAAACTAGAGGCCCATCAGGGGGTTGAGGAGCTGCCCCCTGTCACTCACAGAGTAGGGCCGATAGGGGAGTTGGGGCACCACCCCCTTTCACACACAGAGCAGGGCGGATCAGGGGGTTGGGGCGCCGCCACTCTCATACTCAGGGCAGGGCCGATGGGGAGGTTATGGCTCTACCCTGTCACACACAGAGCAGGGCCCATGGGGGGGGGGGGGGGTTGGGGCACTGCACCCTGTCACACTGATCCCGGTGCTGGGAGGCCTCGCGGCTCCGCTGATCCTGGTGCTGGGAGGCATATTACCCTTTTACTATATAGGGTAGAGGCCTGGTTCATGGGTGGGGCTGGCTGGTTTGCCCTGAAGGGTGTCCTGGACCAGAGTGGGGGTCCCCACTGGGGTGCCTGGCCAGCCTGGGTGAGGGGATGAGGGCTGTTTTCAGGCTCACGGGTGACGGAAGCTCCCAACTGCTCCTTTTTTTATTTTTTTATTTTTTTTATTCTGGGCCAGCTTTAGCTCTGGCTCCAGCTCTGAGGCCTCTGCTGGGTTCTATAATCGAGACACTGTATCAACTCCAGCTCTGAGATCCCGGCTCACTGAAAGCTGGTTTCTGGGGTTTTGTTTAGCTTCTATATTTGTTACAATGTTTCAGACTGCAGGCTCAGAGGCCGGCAAGGCAGGCGGGGAACGTTGGAGTCCTCCGTCACTGAAGCAAGCAAGCCTCGTGTTAGTTTCAAGCTGCCTGGCTACCGGACGCCATCTTGGCTGGCAGTTAATTTGCATATCTTGCTGATTAGCCAATGGGAAGAGTAGCGGTCGTATGCCAATTACCATGTTTCTCTTTTATTAGATAGGATCCTTGCTGATGGGCTAGTCTCCCTGTTACTGGAAATTGCCTGCCTAAGGGCTATGGGTGGATCCCAAACCAATAAAATGTTGGTGAGGCCTGAGCACCAGGGGAAGTCCTTCCCCTTCAGTTGGACTTGCCCGCCTGGCCCCCCAATATTTCCAAATTATCTCGTCTCATCTCTTTCATTTGTGTGCAGCTCCTCTTCCAGATCCTGAACCCTGAACCACGCGGGACGTGGGGGGAAACTTTAAACACCGAACCCACCCCCTCCCTCTAAGAAGCCTGGGCTCCTGCCCCACAGAAGGCCCCGCTGGCTGCAGATCCTGGAGAGAGACAGGGTGTGAGTGGGGTGCTCTGGCTTCAGAGGGCACATGAACAGAGACACAACTACTGCAGGACTCACCTGGCTTCTGGGGCTTCATGCCTCCCCCAAAGCCTGAAAGGATTTGGGAGCAGGTGAGAGACTCAGGAGCCCCTCTCAGGCCTCCCCAGGTTCCTACCCGCTCTACTCCTACCTGCTCCAAATCCGTTCTGGGTTGCTGGGCCTGGGGAAAAGGGAGGGTGAGCTGAGGGCTGGGGGTCTGGCTGAGGTAGAGGTAAAGGTGCCCCCTCTTAGGCCAAGTCAGAAAGCTGGGATTCTAGAGGCTTCCAACTAAGTGCTCCCTTAATTATTCACCAGTCCTGCCCCTCTGAGGCCCGGGAGGGAGGCAGGAGAAGACACCCAGACATAGACGCCCCCCTCAGTATCACCTGGCTGGCCTCCAAGCCTGTGCCCATTCCCATTCCCGAATCCTGGGGACACAGATCCGGGTGTGGGTGTGAATGAGGGGAGGGAAGCTCAGGGTTTGGGGGAGGTGGAGAGAAAAGGCTGGGGTGAAGCTCACCTGGCTTCTGGGGTTTCATACCCGCTCCAAAGCCTGGTGGAGAGTCAGGGAGCAGGTGAGGGACCCTAGCCCATCCCTGCGCCTCCCCAGAGCCTCGGCCCACCCCTACCTGGTCCATAGCCATTCTGAGCTGCAGGGCCTGTGGGGAGAAGGTGGGGGAACCATAAAGCTGGCTGTGGGGCTGAGGGGCTGAGACCAGCCCTGAGGGTCCCCTGGTCTTGCCTCCCACTTCTCTCCCATGGTCCTTGGCGCCCTGACACCCTTCACTCCTGAAGCAGGGAGTGTCCCTCTTGTTAGAGGTAAGCAGCCCCTGCTCCATGAATTAGTGCTGAGGAAGGTGGTGCCAGAGAGAGAGGCCTGAGAGAAATGAGGAGGACAGGGTGGCTGTCCTCTCACCTGGCCCAGGGCTTTCCCACCCCTTCCCAGGCCTGGGAGGCAGAGAGACTGACAGCCTCTGCCAGGCCTCCAGCCCGGGCTCCTGTCCCCCCCCCCACACACACCCCACCCCTCAGGACCAAGCCCAGCTGCCCTCACCTGCTGGGGCTCCCAGTCCATTTCCATGACCATATCCTGGGGAGGAAAAACAGGGGTGGCATGAGGGGCAGTATGTGGAGGGGTTCAGTAGAAGCAGGACAGAGACAGGCAGCCTCAGAGAAGAGGCGAGGGTGTGGGGGGTCTTTCCCTCACCTGGTTTCTGCGGGTTCACTCCCCCTCCAGGCCACAGGCCAACCCTCCATCTCCCCACTACAGGGCACCTAGTTCTCTACCCCCCGCTCCCCAATGAGGCCCCTGCCCCAATCCCTAACCCACCCCTCTCCCTCTAAGAAGCCTGGGCTCCTGCCCCACAGAAGGCCCCGCTAGCTGCAGATCCTGGAGAGAGACAGGGTGTGAGTGGGGTGCTCTGGCTTCAAAGGGCACATGAACAGAGACACGACTACTGCAGGACTCACCTGGCTTCTGGGGCTTCATGCCTCCCCCAAAGCCTGAAAGGATTTGGGAGCAGGTGAGGGACTCGGGAGCCCCTCTCAGGCCTCCCCAGGCTCCTGCCCCCTCTACTCCTACCTGCTCCAAATCCGTTCTGGGTTGCTGGGCCTGGGGAAAAGGGAGGGTGAGCTGAGGGCTGGGGGTCTGGCTGAGGTAGAGGTAAAGGTGCCCCCTCTTAGGCCAAGTCAGAAAGCTGGGATTCTAGAGGCTTCCACTAGTGCTCCCTCAATTATTCACCAGTCCTGCCCCTCTGAGGCCTGGGAGGGAGGCAGGAGAAGACACCCAGACATAGAAACACCCCTCCCCCCTCCCCCCAGTATCACCTGGCTGGGCCCCAAGCCTGTGCCCATTCCCATTCCGGAATCCTGGGGACACAGATCCGGGTGTGGGTGTGAATGAGGGGAGGGGAGCTCAGGGTTTGGGGAGGTGGAGAGAAAAGGCTGGGGTGAGGCTCACCTGGCTTCTGGGGTTTCATAGCTGCTCCAAAGCCTGGTGGAGAGACAGGCAGCACTGAGGGACCCTGGCCTCATCCCTGCACCTCCCCAGAGCCCCGGCTCACCCCTACCTGGTCCATAGCCATTCTGAGCTGCAGGGCCTGTGGGGAGAAGGTGGGGGAACCATAAAGCTGGCTGTGGGCTGAGGGGCTGAGGCCAGCCCTGGGGGTCCCCTGGTCTTGCCTCCCACTTCTCTCCCGTGGTCCTTGGGGCCCTGACACCCTTCACTCCTGAAGCAGGAAGTGTCCCTCTTGTTAGAGGTAAGCAGCCCCTGCTCCATGCATTAGTGCTGAGGAAGGTGGTGCCAGAGAGAGAGGCCTGAGAGAAATGAGGAGGACAGGGTGGCTGTCCTCTCACCTGGCCCAGGGCTTTCCCACCCCTTCCCAGGCCTGGGAGGCAGAGAGACTGACAGCCTCTGCCAGGCCTCCAGCCCGTGCTCCTGTCCCCCACCCCACCCCCCACCCCCACCCCTGACCCCTCAGGACCAAGCCCAGCTGCCCTCACCTGCTGGGGCTCCCAGTCCATTTCCATGACCATATCCTGGGGAGGAAAAACAGGGGTGGCATGAGGGGCAGTATGTGGAGGGGTTCAGTAGAAGCAGGACAGAGACAGGCAGCCTCAGAGAAGAGGCGAGGGTGTGTGTGGGGGTCTTTCCCTCACCTGGTTTCTGCGGGTTCACTCCCCCTCCCAGGCCACAGGCCAACCCTCCATCTCCCCACTACAGGGCACCTAGTTCTCTGCCTGGACCTTCCGCCCCCAGGCCCCTACTCCAGTCCCTAACTGCGGGAAGCTGAAGCTGTCTATTGTCTTCACTAGGGGAGAGGTGTGGACAAGGAGCCTGGAAGCCTGTTGGCCCTTGAAGTCCTGGCCAAGGTCAGAGCTGTGCACCCACTGTTAGTCCAGACAATGGTCGCTGAAGCAACTTCCCTATTTATTATTATATAAATCCTTGCTGATGGGCTAGTCTGCCTGTTACTGGAAATTGCCTGCCTAAGGGCTATGGATGGATCCCAAACCAGTAAAATGTTGGTGAGGCCTGAGCACCAGGGGAAGTCCTTCCCTTGAGTTGGACTTGCCCGCCTGGCACCCCACTATTTCCAATTTATCTCTTGTCTCTTCTCTTTCATTTGTGTGCGGCTCCTCTTCCAGATCCTGAACCCTGAACCACGCAGGACGTGGGGGGAAACTTTAAACACCTAACCCACCCCCTCCCTCTAAGAAGCCTGGGCTCCTGCCTCACAGAAGGCCCTGCTGGCTGCAGATCCTGGAGAGAGACAGGGTGTGAGTGGGGTGCTCTGGCTTCAGAGGGCACATGAACAGAGACACAACTACTGTAGGACTCACCTGGCTTCTGGGGCTTCATGCCTCCCCCAAAGCCTGAAAGGATTTGGGAGCAGGTGAGGGACTCGGGAGCCCCTCTCAGGCCTCCCCAGGCTCCTGCCCCCTCTACTCCTACCTGCTCCAAATCCGTTCTGGGTTGCTGGGCCTGGGGAAAAGGGAGGGTGAGCTGAGGGCTGGGGGTCTGGCTGAGGTAGAGGTAAAGGTGCCCCCTCTTAGGCCAAGTCAGAAAGCTGGGATTCTAGAGGCTTCCACTAGTGCTCCCTCAATTATTCACCAGTCCTGCCCCTCTGAGGCCTGGGAGGGAGGCAGGAGAAGACACCCAGACATAGAAACACCCCTCCCCCCTCCCCCCAGTATCACCTGGCTGGGCCCCAAGCCTGTGCCCATTCCCATTCCGGAATCCTGGGGACACAGATCCGGGTGTGGGTGTGAATGAGGGGAGGGGAGCTCAGGGTTCGGGGGAGGTGGAGAGAAAAGGCTGGGGTGAGGCTCACCTGGCTTCTGGGGTTTCATAGCTGCTCCAAAGCCTGGTGGAGAGACAGGGAGCAGGTGAGGACCCCAGGCCCCATCCCTGCTCCTCCCCAGAGCCCCGGCCATCCCCTACCTGGTCCATAGCCATTCTGAGCTGCAGGGCCTGTGGGGAGAAGGTGGGGAAATGGTAAAGCTGGCTGTGGGCTGAGGGGCTGAGGCCAGCCCTAGGGTCCCCTGGTCTTGCCTCCCACTTCTCTCCCCATGGTCCTTGGGGCCCTGACACCCTTCACTCCTGAAGCAGGAGCTCAGGGTTCGGGGGAGGTGGAGAGAAAAGGCTGGGGTGAGGCTCACCTGGCTTCTGGGGTTTCATAGCTGCTCCAACGCCTGGTGGAGAGACAGGGAACAGTGAGGGATCGGAGTCCCATCTCTGTGCCTCCCCAGAGCCCTAGGGTGCCCCTACCTGGTCCATAGCCATTTTGAGCTGCAGGGCCTGGTGGAAGGAGAGAGGGGGCTCTGACTACTGGCGTCTCTCTGAGGCTCTACCCTAGGCCTGGCCCCTTTAGCTCTCACCCCAGACCTGGACCCGCCCAGCTGGGTCCTAGGCTTCCCCCTGGAGTCCGGCCTCCTAGAGCCTGAATGTCATACCCAGCTGCCTGGTCCATTTGGGTAGGCATCACTGCCAGCAACCATGTCTACCAGCCAGCAGGGTGAACCTGAGGCCTCCTTCTCTCCCCAGCCAGGTGCCATCAGCATTGCCCCTGCCCCACGGCCTCCCAGCCTTTCCCGTGCGCACCCCCCCTGGTCCTCATTTATCAGCGGGCCACGCCCTCTAGTGGGCATTCCGGCCCCGGAGTCGCCTTCGCACTCCTCTCCTGTCTGCCTCCGCCTGCGCACGTGCCCCGGCTCTGGGAGGGCCTGTCTCCAGCCCTTGGCCGCCCCTGGATGTTTGTTCAATGAGTTTTCTCGTGGGAATCCGAGTGGGAGAGGCGGAGGGCGGGTCTCACCTGGCTTCTGAGGTTTCAGTCCCCCGAGACCTGAGGGGAGAAGGCACTGCCCCTGAGCCTGTGAGTCCACCGCGCCCCTCCTCTCCCCTCAGAACCAGGGTCAGGCACCCACACCAGACCCCCCTCGGCAAACCCCTGCTCCGGAGCCCCAGGGCCTTGCCTGGCTGGGCGCCTGCTCCCGGGAGGGCCCCGTTCCCGAATCCTGGGGAGACAGCAGGAGGGAGTGAGGGGGGATCGGGGGCGTGGGTGGAGCAGCCGGATAAGGAGCCGTTAGACAGAGTGGGGCTCACCTGGCTTCTGGGGCTTTCCGTTCCCTCCGTAGCCTGGGGAAGAGATGAGCAGGTGAGGGACCCAGAAACCCCACCCCTGGGCCTGCCCCAGAAACAGCTTCTGCCCTCGTGCCCCAGCGGCCCCTGCTCTACCTGGTCCAAAGCCATTCTGTGCTGCTCCACCTGGGGGGGCGGGGGGGGCGGGGGGCGGGGATGGCACAGAAAAGCTGGGTGCTGCTGGCCGGGCAATGGCCCCCAGCCTCCCCTCCCCTGCGCCGCGCACCCCTGCCCTCCCCTCCACTCAGCCTGGCTGGATTCGCAAAGGGGGTAGGTGACTGTGGGGGCCTGTGTCCTGCGTCAGGGAGGGACTAGGGGGACTGAGGCTGTGAGGAACCCGAGCCCCAGGCCCCTCCCCACGGCCGCCCTCCGGGTCTGGCCCGGGAGACCCAGGTGGTAAACTCCGCTGCGTCTTCCTCGCTCTGCTTCCAGCCCCAGGCCTCCAGCCTCTCACTTTCCAGGATCTGCCTTCTCACTTTCCAGCTCCCAGGGCTGCCCCCGCCCGACCGTCCTGACCACAGTCCTTGAGACGGCACTGGGCTGGTGTGGCTCGGGGCCTGTGGGCTGAGCCTAGGGAGTCATCAGCTCCATTCAGGCCGACCTGAGTGTCTGCTGTGCCAGCCATGGCCTCACTCAGGATGAGTGAGGGCAATGAGCCCCTCTGCTGGGAGCAGGAGGTGGGGAGGGGTGCCCGGGATCCCGGGCTCTTTCTCTGACTCCCTCCCCCAGACGCGTTGCCAGTGGGCCAGGTCCTGGCGGGAAGCAGCAGTGAGGAGGGGTCTGGGGATGGGTAGGGGTAGAATCGAGAAGGTGGGGCGGGAGGGCAGGCTCACGGGCTCACCTGGTTGCTGCTGCTTCAGGCCTCCGCCCAAGCCTGGGGAAGACCAGGTGCCACTGGGCCATGTGTGGCCCCCCACCCCCACCCCACGGAAATCAGTTTCCCGCCCTCCTGATCACCCAGCTCCTCCCCCCTCTTCCTTCCCGGGACCCCAGGTTGGCCCAGGTGTCCTCACCTGGCTGGACTCCTCCTCCCGGGAGGGCCCCGTTCCCGAATCCTGGGGAGACGGAGAGGAAGGAGGTCAGTGTCCGCCAGGGGGCAGGGGGAGAAGGGGGCGGATGGAAGACGCGACTACAGGGACAGGGGGACTGGGTAGGGCTCACCTGGCTTCGGAGGTTTCACACCCCCTCCGACTCCTGAGAAAGAGATGGGGACCAGGTAAAGGAGCCTGGCGTGCCCTCGACTCCCCAAACTGAAGCAGGTGCCCCCAGCTCTCACCCCATCGCCTACCTGGTGCCTGGCCACCATGTGGAGGGGCAGGGCCTGTGGCGAGAGGGAAGGCAGAGACTGCGGGTGGGCGAGTGTGGGCTCACACCTGTGCTGTCCTCGTCCCAGGACCTCGGTGCCCACCGTCCCTGGCAGCTCCTCTCAGGGAGCCAGTGTGAGAAGGGCCTGGGAGTCTGGGAGACCCTCCCCAAGGCCAGCCCCCTGAAGGGAGCAGCCCTGGGAGGGTAACGGTGCCAGAGCTTGGCACAGGGTGAGCGGGAGTGGCCTCCACTCACCTGGCTTCTGAGGTTTCATCCCCCCTCCCAGGCCTAGGAAGAGAGAGGGAAAGAGGTCGACACTGACCCCGCCCCCCAAGAATGCAGACCCTGACCCTGAACCCCCTTTCCTCTGCCTGCCCGTCACCCTCACCTGGCCGGGATCCTGCCCCCGGGAAAGTGCTGGTTCCTACACCATTTGTGCTCCCGAATCCTGGGGACACAGAAGTGAGGGCTGCAGCCCTGAGGTGGGCGGGTTTGGGGCTCACGGAGGAACTGGGGTGAAATGGGCAGGGGCTAGGCTGGCTCTCCACTCACCGGGCTTCAGAGGTTTCATTCCCCCTCCCAGGCCTGGGGGGCGACAGAGGGGCTGAGCCTGCGGTCCTCCCCCAAGAACCCAACTCCCTCCCCTACTGGTTCCTGGGTCCCAGTTCTGCCCCCACCTCCTCCCTCCCTGAACCCCAGGGTGGAGCCCGGGTGCCCTCACCTGCCTGGGCTCCCGGCCCTGGGAAGGCACCCGCTCCCAGTCCATTTCCATATCCTGGGGAGACAGAGCCAAGAGGGAAGAGGAGGGAGGAGCAGCTCCAAAGGCATCCAGACAGATGTCAGGTGGACAGAGGGGCGGGCGTGGGGAGCGGGTCTCACCTGGCTTCTGGGGCTTCACCCCCCCTCCAAAGCCTGAGGACAGAGATGCGGCAGATGAGGGGACCCCAGGGGGCCAGCCTCTTCCTAGGGCTCCATAGCCATGCTGAGCTAAGGGGCAGGGGGCATTTGGGGTCCCAGCTGGGGTGAGGGTGAAGCAGGGGTACCCTGCTCTGCCGTCCTCAAACCAGATATCAGGAACCCTCAGGGTCCTTCCCTCTGCCTCCAGTGAGTCACCAGTTCTGCCCTGGGGGAGCCTGGGATAGGCACCCCCTAATGCCGACCCAGCCCTATCCCCCCGCCCCACCTCACCTGGTTGGGCTGCGGCACCTGGGAAGGCCCCTGCTCCATGCCCGTTCCCATTCCCAAACCCTGAGGAGACAGGGCAGGAGGGGTCAGCAAGGAGCAGAGAGCAACAGGGGGAGGCATCAGGGCATACAGACGGGAGACAAGCAGCTGGAGGGCTCACCTGGCTTGTGGGGTTTTATCCCCCCTCCAATGCCTGAGAAGGAGATGGATCAGGTGAGGGTCTGAAGAGACCCCATTTCAGGGATGCCCCTAGAGTACTGGTCCCAACTCCCCCCAAACACACTCTGGGCCCACCTCTCCCAGTGCTGTAGCCATTCGGAGCTGGAGGGCTATGGGGAGAGGGAGGAATCATCTGGGAGGTTTGGGGTCCTAGATGGGGTGGGTGTGCAGGATCCTTGGACCCAGCCAGAAACAGCAAACCTGAAGGCTCCCAATCTCTGCACCCCTCCCCACCCTGCGCCCCCGCCCCAAATCATTCACCAGCCCTCCCCTTCCCCTCTGAGGCTTGGGAGGGAGCAGGGAGAGGACCAACCCAGACCCCATCACTCTCACCTGGCTGGACTCCCAGGCCATTCCTGTCCCCAAATCCTGGGGAGACAGATAGAGGTGAGGGGTGTGAGAGGAAGATGGGGAGACACAGAGAGAGAGAGCGGGGGCTGGGCAGGGCTCTGAAGTTTAATACCCCAGGAGGCCTGGGGGAGACTCAGGGAGCAGGCGAGGGACCCAGGTTCCCCCTTTCACCTCCCCCCCACCCCCACAAAGCCTGCTCCCAACTGGCCTGGGGGTCATGCAGAGAGGGGCAGGGTACATGCCTTAGATGACACCACAACAGCTTTGATGGATTCGTGGGGGGTGGGGGGCAGTGTGTGCAGGAGGGGAAGGAGAGGGCATGCTGGAAGGGGTCTCAGGTGGGCTTCTCCACCTGAGGGGTGTCAGGTACTTCCGAGTGGCTGCCCCCCAAATCCTATTTACCCACCCCTTACCTACTCCCCGGCCACTGGGAGGGGGTAGCCGGGGGGCGGGGAGGGAGTGTGTGGGGCCAAAGGGGGCAGGAGGGCCCAGGAGCCAGGGTGCTCTGCCCTCGTTTGGAGGATAGGAGCTGCCCACCCCCTCAGCTTTACCTGGTCTGTAGCCATTCGGGCTCCCTAAGCCTGCAAGGTCAGGGAGAAGGGGTAACCGGGAGGGGCAAGGAGGGCCAAATCCGGGCCTCCCCTCCCACCCTGCAGAGCAAGAGTGCACCCCCTCCCCCCTGGGACTCGCTTTCTACTCTGGTCACTGGAGGAGCAAGGACAGAACCAGGTGAGCAGGCTGGTGGCCAAGAGGGGGCTGTCTGGGCTGTGCGGGGTGGGGGGCAGGCCCCCATGCCCTCTTCCTCAGGGGTGTGCACCTCTTCCCTCCATGCTCACTGGAGCATCTTTGGGACCCCCCTTTCCTGGAAATCTTATCCTCCTCACCCCAGTCCCTCAGCGTTCCTCTCCAGCAGCTTAGACACATTAGGTCTCCGGAGGGAACCCTTTCTCCCGCCCGTAAGATGCCCCCTACGCCCCTCCCCACGCTCCAGCCTCCTCTCCTCCCATCCTGTCCCACCTCCAGGCCTTTGACCCTCTTGCTTCCAGCGATTGCCTTCCCTGTCCTGTTATAACCCACTTCCCTGGCCCTTCCAGACCCAGCTCCAAGCCCCTCCTCTGGGCTCCCGTATTCTCACGCCCAGAGCTGAAATTCTGCCCGATCTCACTCTGTTCTAAGGGTTCAGGTCTGTGCTTCCCACACTTGAGTTGACCCTGGACAAGACCGACTGCCAGGAAGACAGGGAGGGACCCTGCTCTCCTGGGATCCCAGAGCTGGGGGATATGTGGGGCTCGCCCCCAAAGAGCTCCCAGACCCCCCGGAGGAGAGACCAGGTCTTCTTCTTGAACCCCAGTGCCTGGAGGGTCCACTCACCTTTTCCTAGGCCAGATGACAATGAAGGCAGCCCTGGGGAGCAGGGAGTGCTGACTCAGAGTGGGGACCCAGAGGCAGAGAGGGGCAGGACCCATGCATATATGCCCCAGCCCCTCAAAACCCAGACTTCTCACACCCACCCCTCCCCCTTGGAGTCCCAGCCTCTGACCCAATGTTCTACCTATACCCCCAGCTCCAACCCCAGCTGCCCGGACCCTGTAGCTGCCCGAGGCCTGCCCTCACCGCCTTGCAGGCTTTCAGAAGTCAGGCAGAGCAGGAAAAGGGCTGCGGGGAAGGCCCAGGTGCCCATGATTCCTGGCAGAGTGGGAGGGCACACACCCTTTGAGCCTTTAAACACCTCTGCTGGGTGGGGGCCCTTACCCAGGCCCCCCGCTGTGAGTGACAGAGGCTCTGTTGGCAGACCCCAGGGGGCCAGCCCCCACCTCCCTCTGCAGCAGGCGCCCAGTCCTTGGCCTGCCCCCTGCCCCACTCCTCATCCATCATGGGTGCTGACAGCTGGGACAGGCCCCCACCTGGCGCATGAGGCTCCGCGACTCCTGTCAGGGCCGGGGGACCCTGGCGCCAGGCCTGGCGGGCTCAGATGTTACCCCAGCAGCTGGTGAGGAGCAGGCAGGCACCGTGGGCACCCAGGCCCAGCCCAAACACAGCTGGGGAGAGGGGGGAGCCAGGCCCAGAAATGTGGGTGTGGCTGACAGGAGGGACTCAGAATGAGTTACTGTGTTACTGGGAGAGAGAGAGAAAACGAAGGAGGCAGAGGCTACAGTGTTACAAAGGCCTGTGGCCAGCGAACAATGAGGGGCACTGTATCTGGCGTGTGGACTTGCCCACAAGAAGAGGGGTAATATTACCCCATCCAACCCTGAGGACTGAAGGGGTGGCCTGGGAGCTGGCCCTTGGTCCCCACCTGGAGCTGGGCTTGCAGAGTGAGCCTGAGCCTCCTTCCCACAGGGAATGGTGATCACAGGGGCGGGTTACCCCATGCTCACCCTGTCCAAAGGTCCAGGGGTTTCTTTGTTAAAAATATGTTTAATCCTGGCCGGTTTGGCTCAGTGGATAGAGCATCAGCCTGTGGACTGAAGGGTCCTGGGTTCGGTTCCAGTCAAGGGCACATGACCAGGTTGCAGGCTCAGTCCCCAGCAGGGGGCGTGCAGGAGGCAGCCGATCAATGATTCTCTCATCATTGATGTTTCAATCTCTTTCTCTCCCTTCCCCTCCCTCTCTGAAATCAATATATATATTTATATATATATTTATATATATTTTTATATATATTTTATTGATTTTTTACAGAGAGGAAGGGAGAGAGATAGAGAGTTAGAAACATCGATGAGAGAGAAACATCGATCAGCTGCCTCCTGCACATCCCCCACCGGGGAAGTGCCTGCAACCCAGGTACATGCCCTTGACCGGAATCGAACCCGGGACCTTTCAGTCCGCAGGCCGACGCTCTATCTGCTGAGCCAAACCGGCTTTGGCAATAAAAATATATTTTTAAAAAAACTCTAGAAAAATATTTTAAAGAGAGAGGAAGGGAGGGGGAGAGAGAGAGAAACACCGATCGATCCATCGATGCCTCCCGCACGTTCCCTACTGGGGATTGGAGCCTGCACGCCGGGCATGTGCCCTAACTGGGATGGAACCTGCAGCCTTTTGGGGCATGGGCTGCGGCACAACCAACTGAGTCACACTGGCCAGGGCCTCACTGTTGAAGGCTCTGCAAGGCCCACCCACGGCAGGAGGTCCTCCCAGTTTCACCTCCATCTCTAGCCGAAATGCAGCAGCACTGACTCTAGTTTTGGGGGACAGACTCTCAGGGGGCCACTCTTAGGGTGTGGTGGGGACAAGATTGCAAGAAGGGTACCTGGGGGGCTAGTGACACTCCATTCCTCTGGGGCGGGCAGATGGAATCGGGCCAGGTGAGGGGGGCTTGGTGAGTATGAGAGGACAGGAGAGGCAGGCCTGGGAAATGTCGGGAGTCAAGGGTCTGGACACCAGCCCTCACCTCCTCCAGGGGGTCTGTGGACCCCCCTGGGCTGCTGGGGACAGCGGTGACTCAGACCCCAGGACCCTAGTCCAGAAGCCCCGCGCCCTGTCTATCTGCTGGCTTGCCCCCTGCCCCGTCAGCCCCTTCCTCCCCAGCACCTGTGGCTAAGGGCTGCAGTCTGCCAAACAAAGCAGGCTGGCACAGCGAGGGCCCGGAGAGGAGCTACAGTGAGGAGTGGGCAGCGGGTGATGGGTTTTGCTTCTTATGTGAGGCCTTTGAGCCCACAACACCTAACGGGACAGCTCCAGTCACCAGCGGACTGCAGGGCTTTTCCAGGTATCCCTTTACCTGCAGTCCTCCCAGCACTGAGTTGTGCCTGCATCTCCCCTCCCACCCACCCTTGCTGCTTTCTCTCCCCACACCTGAGGGCCTGCGCCCAGGGATCATGCTTACCTGAGCATACCTGCGTGTGTCCGCGCACACACACACACACACACACACACACACACGCCTGTGGCACCCATCTCCCCCGACAGACCCACCTTTGCACAAGCCTCCTGCTGGGTCCCTTCAGTCCAGTGCCCTGGCACAGCATCCCACATGCCCACCTCCTGCCCTGCCTGGCAGAGGGCTGTGACCTGGAGTCCTGGAGGCTGGACCTTCCACTGGCTGCTGGGAGTGGCTCAGGGGTGGCCCCTGGCTCCAACCACCCAAAGGAGCCTGGGATAGCTGGGACGGTTCCCTCAGGCTCCCCGGGGAGGGCTCTCCTGCCTGCCCCCTGCTCCTCCCCATGGCAACAAGCACTGGCTCCCTGGCCTCCTCATGGCGGGCAGCTGAGTGGCCTCAGGGTTAGCAGGCTGGGTGCTGGATTCAGATGCAGATTGGGTTAAGTGTCTGCTTTATCCAGCTGGGGAGCTGGGGCAGGTACCTGACCTCCCTGAGTCTGTTCACTCTCCTCTAAAATGATGATGCCAGTGCTCGCTTCAGCAGCACGTGTACTAAAATGATGATGCCATAGTGTCGGGGCTATTGAGGGAGCTACTTCATACTCCGTTTTACAGATGGGGAAACAGAGGCAGAGCGGAGAAGGGGCTTGGCTCAGATTGCACACCTCCTAAGCAGCGGGGCTGGAGTTTGAAGCCAGGCAGTCCACCCCCAGCTCTACCCCAATCCACAGTCCTCCACTCTCTGCTACTCCACATACTTTTGGCAGCGACAGGCCCAGTTACTTGAGACACAGCATTGCTCTTTGCCTGCCCCACGCCAGTCTGGACCCTGCCTTAGACCTGGGATAGCTGAGGGTCCCCTGTACAGACCCAGACACAGACACTCAGCTCACCCCGAAGGGCGCCGGGGAACCTTGGCCCAGGAGGAGGCAGGCGGGGAGACTAGGAGGGGCAACGCAGGAGGTAAAGGCCAGGTGCCTGCTTGGTCACTGCCGGAGGGAATGCCAATGTCCACCACCTCTGCCAGGCTGTCTGGGTGCTGGCATGGGCCTGTGGGAAATGCCAGCCAGCCAGGGGCCTCAGGCCAGCTTGATGCCACTCAGGACCAGGGCTGAGCCCAGTTGGGCACCCGCAGCCCCTGCATTGCCACCACCCTTACCCCTAGCACAGCTAGTCCCCTCAGCTCACCCCCAGCCCCAAACAGGCAGGGAGGGCCTGAGAGCACATGGATCACTTGGGGGCTGACAGAGCTCTTGATGGAGCCCAGGCCTGGGCTACTCTTTGTTCCCAGGCTTGAGGGGACTCAGCCCAGCGTCTGAACAGAGAAGCATCTTTGAGGGCCAGAGCTAGAAGCCCAGGGCAAGGAGATAGCTGGAGTGTTAAAAGCGGACGATGGAAGCCCAGGAAGTGCATCACCTAAAATGACCCCGCCTGTGCCAATAGACTCCCAGCCATCTGCTCACGGAAGCGCCACCTGCCAGGGTGGGAATGTGGGGAGAATAGCTTGAAGGGCGGCCAGGCGCCTGCAGGGCAGACACCTTCCGAACCTGCAGCTGTGCTAACGCCTCCTCAGGTCACCCTCTCCTCCCTCTTTGTGGCAGCTCTTCAGCCCCATCCCTGACTCAGAGCCTCTGGGACCCCCTCCCAGGCGTCCCCAGGCCCTTGCCCTGCGCAAAGCTGAGCTGTAGCGACTCCCTCTCCTCACTCACCTGTCAGTTTATTAAAACCTCGTGCCAGAGTGAAATATGGGGTACATTCCGAAGTGTGCATAAGACAGGAATGCACAATATAACAAATAGCTGTAAAGCAAACACCTATGCAGCTGGCTCAGGCCAAGAAACAGAACCCAGCCAGCTCCCCAGCAGCGCCCCTCACACTCTCCTCCTTCCTGCCAGGGCAGTCACATTTGCATTGTGGCTGTTTCCTCGCCTTTTTACTTCACCTTATCCTGTATGTGGCCACACTGGAGACTTCCCAGAGGAAAATCTGAGTGGGCCTGGTACTGTGACACGATGACAACAACGGGGACACACCTAGATATTCGGCTGGGAATCCCACTATTGAGCAGGGCTTGGGGGCTTTCTCCCGGACCAAGCCACAGGCAAGCGCTTTGGCCTCAAATCCTGTGGGCCCAGGGCTCTCCGTCCCTGTGACCCCGGGTGGGTGTGGAAGTCCTGACCCCTCTCCAGATTCCTCCTTTTGGCCCAGACGGCTGCTTTGAAAACGGCAAAACACTGTGCAAAGGAGGGAGTGTTACTGTTATTAAACAAGTAAGTTCCTACCATGTGCTAGGCCCTGTACTAAGCACTTCACATGCATTTGCTCATTTAATGCTCAGAACCCCCAAGGAGGTAGGAACTATTATTATTATCCCCATTTTACAAATGTGAGAACAGGCCCAGAGACATAAAGCAACTTGTGTGTGACAGAGAAAGAGCCTAAATTCCCCTGACTCTATGGCCCAGGCGCTTACCTGCTAGCTGTACCCAACTTTACATTATATCCCTTCCACACAGTGGAATGTATATTGGAAGAATGTTTTTATTATTTATTTACTTACTTATTTTTTAAAAAAATATTTTTTATTGATTTCAAAGAGGAAGAGAGAGGGAGAGAGAGGTAGAAACATCCATGATGAGAGAGAATCATCAATTGGTTGCCTCCTGCAGGCCCCACAATGGGGATCGTCGAGCCCGCAACCCAGGCATGTGCCCCGACTGGGAATGGAACCGTGACCTCCCGGTTCATAGGTCGATGCTCAACCACTGAGCCACGCTGGCTGGGTGGAAGAATGTTTTTAAATTTTTAAAAAACTGTTTTAAGTCATTGCAAATTAGACTTTCAAGAATGGGCAGCTGGAAAGAGGCCTGAATCCAGGACTCCTGGAGATGGGATTGGCAGAGGGGATGACAGCTGGAGAGAGGCATGCCTGCTCCCCAGGCCTCCTGGGGACAAGCCTGGGGTCTTGAACATGGATCCAGGGTGAGTCATGGGGGCCGTGGCTGCCAGAGATGCTAATGCAAAGGAAGAGTGCAAGGAGCGGGGAGGGAGCCGAATCCCCCAGAGACATTCCGGGCCTAGCCTGGGGTGCGCTGGAGAATGTCCCCTGAAGGGCAAGCACTGCAATGGGTTGGGAGCCCTGAAGCCCATGACACCTTTCAGGGTCTTGGGAGATGGAGGGTCAACAAGTAAACCAATAAACGGAGAGGATAGAATTTTAGATAGAGGTAAGTGCAATACGAAAGTGGGGAGGGATATGTGATGAGATGCAGAGCATTCTGGGGAGGGCGGTTGGCCTGGAAGAGTGACTCCCCTCCACCCCGTGAAGGAGCCCCAGCCGCACTGTCAGGAGTCTGCACTTGCTTTGAGCCAGCCTCCTGCTAAGTACTTTAAGGGGATCATCTCCCTTGAAACTCCAGCGCCGTGAGGAAGGCTTTGTCAGCTCAGTTTTTAGAGGAGAGGAGACTCAGAAAGGCCCAGGTGCGTCCCCAAGGTCGTTCAGCCCGGAAGGAGCTGAGGGCGCTGTGAGCCGAGCTCAGGTTTCCAATCCAATGAATGTGGGTGGGGTGGTGGGGTTGCTGCCTTGATGGCTGAGGCCCGGGGCTCCAGCCTCGGTGTCTGCAGGGAGAGTCAGCATTTTCTGGTTCCCCAAGCCAGAGCCAGGCGTCCCGCGGGTCTGAGGAAGGTGTGTCCGGCACCCGCCCCGTCGGGATCCCCGAGGACGCAGGGACTTCCTGCCCTGCCCAGAGGTGATCGCCTCCCGGGCCGACTCGTCTGCTCCCTTTATAGTCGCGAGGGGACCGCTTTATAGACCGTCAGCCTAGCGACGGTCCCGGGAGACGGGGCCGGGGTCCGGAAGTCGGCTGGTGTCTGGGAGACCGGGCGGGAGGGATCCCCGTCGGCTGCGGACCCGCGGCCACGCCGCAGCCCCGGGAGGCAGGGCGCAGACACCTCCGCCCCGGGCCGGCGCCGAGCGGCACTGCGCCTGCGCAGTGAGAACTCGGGGGCGGGGCGGGCGGCGGCGGGGGCGGCGGCGCTTCCGCGAACGTGAGCGGCGGAGCCCGGAAGGCTGGGCGCCCGCGATGGGCTCCTCGGGGCGGGGGCGGGGGAAGAGGCGTTCCTGGGCGGGGACTCGAGGCCGGTTTGGAATTTTTGGCGCGAGTTGGCTCCGCGGGCGTTCACGGGCCGTTCCCCCGCCGGAGGGTCCTCTCGTCCCGGCGCGGAGAGCTGTCGACGGCCGGCCCGGCCCTCCTGACCGCCCCGAGGGTGCCCCGCGGCCTCGGCGGACCCGGAGTCGGGACCTCGCGGAGCGGCGCCCCGCCCACCTGCGCCAGGTGAGCCCGGCCGGGCCCTGAGCGCTCCTCGGCCGCCCCCCTCCCCTCCGCTCCCCTTGGCTCCGGCGCCCCCGCCCTCTGCGAGCTCCGGTCAGCCTCCCCCTCCTCCCCCGTCGCCCTCCGGCTTCCTCCCCTCCCCTCCCCGTCGGGCTGGGTCCCGCCCTGTCCCTCTGCTCACCCCTCTTCCGGAGCCAGGCCCCGGGCGCCCCGCCCCTCCCCTCCCCTCCCGCCGCTCTGGGGACTGCCCGGCTGCCCCTGAGTCCTTCCTCGGCCTCCCTGTCCGCTTTCATGTGGGCACCACGCGACCGCCCCGCCCCGCCCCGCGGCTGGTCCTTCCTCGGGAACAGCCCCACCCACGTCCCCGCTGCAGCCCCTGCAGCGTGACAGCCGGCTCGGCTCTGTGCGCCAGGGTCGCCCCGCGCGCACGGGGGTGGATCGCGGCTGCTCCGCCCGGTGGGAGGTCGCAGTCGAGCGCGGTAGACTGGACAGCAGAGGTGTCCGGCCAACGGGGGGCGGTGGGGTGGGGAGGCCTTTGGCTGGCGTCCCGGAAACCCGGCAGGGCCGCCCTGGATTCGTCTGGCTCCTTCTGCTAACCCCCCCCCTCCCCAAAGCTGAGTGGCCAGGCCAGAGGTGCTGGACGTGGAGGACATTGGAGGGGCTGAGAGCTGCTTTAAGATGCGGCTGTCTGTGCCTCTGAGTGTGCGGGGACGGGGTCTGGAGGCCGAACTTCTCATCAGCGCCCCGGGGGGCCTGGCATCCCAGTTCCTCCCTTTGAGAACCCCTGGGAGTGGGATGTTTGGGGGAAAAGGCAGAGGAAGGGTTATCACAACATGTAGGGCGAGTCCTCTAGGGAGGCGCCATGGGGGACCCTCCCGCAGGCCTCACTCTCCCAGGGCCTGGAGGGCACACTTCGGGTGACTGCCTCCTTCCCCCCCCCCCCCCCCCCCGTTAGGTATGGCATCCTTTTTTTAAAAATATTTTTTTAATTGATTTTTTTTAGAGAGAGAGAGGAAGGGAGAGGGGGGGAGAGAGAAGAGAACACATGCATGTGACATGAGAGCTAAACATCCATTGGCCACCTCCCGCCTGCCTTCTACCGGGGGGTCAAACCCGCAGCCTTTCGGTGCAGGGGCGATGCCCAACCGCCTGAGCCACACTGGCCGTGGCCGGCATGGCATCTTTTGATACACTGTGGCTGCCTCTCAAAATTACATTCCCCTCCTTTTGTGTCCTTGTTCGTGTTTCAGTGACAACATTATAGCAACACAAAAAGCCTTCTCTGCCCCAACACACAAAGCTACTGATACCTGTGGGGCCTCTGTGGCTTTGTGAGTCTTTTAACAGCATTTATTAAGGAATCTGCATGCCAGACGCCAGGCCGAGCCTTCCTGGAGATGATTATTACAGGTCCACAAATCCTGAGGCCAGGAGTGTCTTGGAATTCAAAATGTGTCAGATTTTAGAAAGCTAATAGGGTGCATATAACATTTATATGTAACACCACCCATGGGTCTGGGACATCATTCAGTAATCAAGCACATTAATATTTTTGTCAAGAAATATATGCATATTCACACTTAGAGGGGAAAAGTAGGTCCGACCATATTTTTCTGCCAAATGAGGTATTTATTTATTTATGTGTTTATGGCCAAATGAGTTTTATGTAAATTTCTAGTTGTCCCACTTGTTGAGAAAACTGTTTTTACCCACTGAATTGTTTTGGCACCCTGTCAAAATCAATTGACTATAAATGTGAGGGTTTATTTCTGAATTTTCAATTCTATTCCATTGATCTATATGTCTATCCTTATGAAAATACAATACTGTTTTGATTATTGTAACTTTGTAGTATTGTAAGTTTTGAAATTGGGAAGTATGAATCCTCCAACTTCATTTTGAATGTTTTGACTATTCTGGGTCTAGTGAATTTGCATATAAATTTTAGGATCAGCTTGTCAATTTCTACAAAGAATCCAGCTGGAATTCTAATAGGGATTGTGCTGAATCTGCAGATCAATTTGGGGAGTATTGCCATTTTATCCATATTAAATCTTTGGATCTATGAACATGTAATATCTTTTCATTTACAGGTGGGGCAAAAGTAGGATTATAGTTCTTATGGAAAATAATACAATAATTCATAAATAATAATATAAGAATAAACTTTGCATACTCACAACTGTAAACTTACTTTTGCCCCACTCTCTATTTGGGTTGTCTTTAATTTCCTAAAGAAGCTGAGGGACCCTAGCTGGTTTGGCTCAGTGGATGGAGCGTTGGCCTGCGGACTCAAGGGTCCCAGGTTCGATTCTGGTTAGGGGCATGTACCTGGGTTGCGGGCACATCCCCAGTGGGGAGTGTGCAGGAGGCAGCTGATCAATGTTTCTAACTCTCTGTCCCTCTCCCTTCCTCTCTGTAAAAAATCAATAAAATATATTAAAAAAAAAAAAAGAAGCTGAGGGAATAAAGGAAAGAAAGTATATATGCATGTTTGTTATATTGACATTCTTATTTACAATGTCTGGTCTTCACTTGTTAAGTTACCACTTGGTGTCATTTTCTAGTCCAGTATAGTTTTGTCCTCTCCCATCTCCTTTGTGCTGTTATTTGCAAGTATATCACATTTCTTTATGTTACATGCCTAACAATACATTTATACACATATTGTTTCATACAATTGCTTTTTAAAAAATATATATTTTTATTGATTTCAGAGAGGAAGAGAGAGGGAGAGAGAAATAGAAACATCAGTGATGGGAGAGAATCATTGATTGACTGCCTCCTGCAGGCCCCACACTGAGGATTGAGCCTGCAACCTGGGCATATGCCCTTGACTGGAATTGAACCCAGGACCCTTCAATCCAAGGCTGACACGCTTTATCCGCTGAGCCAAACTGAAGTATTCGTTTAGTTCTTTGAGCATATTTATAGACTACTTTGAAGTCTTTCTTTGTTTAATCTGACACCTAGTCCTTCTTACAAGTAGTTTCTGTTGCCTGTTATTTTTATTTAAATTTTATTTAAATATTTTTACTTTTATTTTTTTAAACATTTTATTTATTGAGTTTAGAGAGAAAGACAGAGAGAGGAGGAGAAACATCAATTTGTTGTTCACTTACTCATGCGTTCATTGGTTTGTATGTTCCCTGATTGGGGATGTGCCCAGACTGGGGATGGAACTTGCAACCTTGGTGTCTCAGGATGAAGCTCTAAACCAACCAGCCAGCCAGGGCTGCCTTTTATTTTATTTTATCTTTCCTGTGTGGGGGTCACACTTCCCTGCATTTTGCACATCTTGTAATTTTTTGTTGAAAACTGGAGATTTTTTTAAAGATTGGTAAACTTTTAACAAATATGTTTTTATTGATTTCAGAAGGGAGAGGGAGATAGAAGCATCAATGATGAGAGAGAATCATTGATTGGCTGCCTCCTGCAGGCCCCCTGCTGGGGATGGAGCCTGCAACCTGGACATGTGCCCTGAGGGGGAATCCAACTGAGACCTCCTGGATTATGGGTTGACGCTCAACCACTGAGCCACACCGGCCGGCAAACCCGGACATTTTACTTTTTATATGTTTTTATTGATTTCAGAGAGTAAGGGACAGTGAGAGAGAGATAGAAACATCAATGATGAGAGAGAATCGTTGATTGGCTGCCTCCTGCATCCCCCTCCGCCCCCCCCAATTGGGGATCTAGCCTGCAACCATGATCTCCTGGTTCATAGGTCACTGAGCCACGCTGACTGGGCAAAAACTGGACGTTGTTGTTGCTTTTTTTGTTTTTTTGTTTTTACATTTTAGCGACTGTGTGTACTGGCTCCTCAACCCCCCTGGGGCTTGTGATTTTTTTTTTTCTTATCTATTTGCTTAGTGACTGACTGGACCATTGCAGTGACATGTCTTTCTGCAGTAGGAAGTCTCTGACATGGCTCCTCAGAGGACCCAGCCTGGAACAGCTACAGTCCTGGGACCCCGGGGCTTTAAGGGGGGCTGTCTTTGACTGCTTTCTCTAATCATATCCACCTGTTGGGCTCCCCCAATTGCTAGCTGTCTTCTCTATTGTTTTTGTCGTGGAGCATCAATTGCTCCATTGACTGGTCCAATTAAATTTAGGCTCCTTTAACGGGATAGCTTTTGAGTTCAGTGTTTGAGGTTTGTTTTGACCCCAGGAAAGCTCTTTTTATCTATCTCTTTACCTGGTTCTCTCTGGTAAATTACCTGGTTGTAATAATGGAGGCACCAGCCTCGGCCTATTTGTGTACCACCCACACCTTGATTGATTTTTAAATTAAATCTTTATTGTTGAAAGTATTGCATGTCCCCCTCCCCCACTGACCTCTTCTAGCCCGCCCCTGCCCCCCACCCCAGACCTTCACCACCCTATCGTCCATGGGTTATGCATGTATGTATACAAGTTTCTTGGTTGATCTCTTCTCACCCACCCATCCTCCCCCACCTTCCCTCTGAGATTCTGCAGTGTGTTTTATGCTTCTATGTCTTTAGATCTATATTGTTCATCAGTTTATTTTGTTCATTAGATTTCACATATGAGTGAGATCGTGTAATACTTGTCTTTCTCTGACTGGCTTATTTTGCTTAGCATAATACTCTCCAGGTCCCTCCATGCTGTTTCAGAGGGTAAGAGATCCTTCTTTTTTTTTACTGCTGCATAGTATTCCATGGTGTAGATGTACCACAGCTTTTTTATTCACTCATCTGCTGATAGGCACTTGGGCTATTTCCAGATCTTAGCTATTATAAATTGTGCTGTTATGAACATAGGGGTGCATACATTCTTTCTGATTGGTGTTTTGGGTTTCTTAGGATGTATTCCTAGAAGTGGGAATCACTGGATCAAAGGGCATATCCGTATTTAATTTTTTGAGAAAACTTCATACTGTTTTCCATAATGGCTGCACCAGTCTGCCTTCCCACCAGCAGTGCACTAGGGTTCCCTTTTCTCCACATCCTCACCAGCACCTGTCATTTGTTGATTTGTTGATGGTAGCCATTCTGTTATTGATTTTTTAGAGCACCTTTATACTTGAACTGCCCATATTCTGTTTCAAATAAAGTCTGTTTGTTTGTTTGTTTATAGGGAGAGCTTCAGAGCTGTCTGTTTCATAACTACCTCTCCCCCAAGCAGAATGTCTGAGCTGCCGCTCTGAGCTGCGGGCAGGGACAGTTAAGCCCATCTCCCTGAGTGATACTGCTGCCTTAGATGGGGCGGCAGCCTGTGGTCTCAGCTTGCCCTGCCCAGCGTGGAACCTCCTTCCGAGGAATGAGCTGGGGCTTGAACGATTGTGCTGTCTGTATTCCTGACCTGCTGGATCCAAGGCAGAGCTTGCGCCTTCCGGGTGGGGGCTGGTGAAAGGAGGGAGCCTGACCTCTCGGCTACATCCAGCTGGGACTTAGCCTCTGCAACATGGAGTTGAAAGTGGAATTCTACTACCCGAGTTTTAGAATCACAACTATGAAAAAGAGAGCAAGAAACTTGGGATCAGACCTTTTTATACTTTGAAATGGGAGATAAGGGAGTGTGGGCCTGTATGAATATGTCCCCCTTACAGTCTTGGAAGAGATTGCATATCTTAAGGTCAAATAGCAGTTGTGACAAGGCAGGGATGTGTGCACGGAGTCTGGCTCCAGAACCTGCCTTGATTTAACCTCTGCTGAATGGTGGGAGCCTCTGGGACATGGTCCCATGCATTTCAGTTTGTGTTTCTAGGACCTCCAGGTACAGACGACTGTGTGCAGGTGTGTATATATTTGTTCTCTGCCGTTTCCCACCAGGTGCTCGTGTCTCCACAGCCTCCATGTTTAAAGGAGAACATGTGTGAGGAGTAGACGCGGCTTCTTCCACAGCCTCTCTGGGGCCACAGGACAAGGAACTGTTGGAGTAGACACGTTGCTCTGTACTCTGCCTCTCAGTGCCTCCTGTGCTGGCCATGCCTGTGCCCACAGAGGGCACCCCACCACCCCTGAGTGGCACCCCGACCCCAGTCCCAGCTTACTTCCGCCATGCAGAACCTGGTTTTTCCCTCAAGAGGCCCAGGGGGCTTAGTCAGAGCCTTCCGCCCCGGCCCCCTGCCAAGGGCAGCATCCCCATCAGTCGCCTCTTCCCTCGGACCCCAGGCTGGCACCAGCCCAAACCCCGGAAGGTGTCATTTCAAGGCAAAGCCTCTGGGCCCCTGCAGAGCCCCAGTTACGACCCAAGCCGGCCGGAGTCCTTCTTCCAACAGAGTTTCCAGAGGCTGGGCCGCCTGGGTCGTGGCTCCTATGGAGAGGTCTTCAAGGTGAGTGGAGTGACAGTGCTATGGGCCTGTCTGGGGGTGCCCCCTTGCCTCCCTCCCTCTGCCTGGATGGGATAGTATCCTGGGCAGCCTGCTCCCCTTCTCTCCTGACAGCCCACTTCTCCTGGGCTGACAGACACCCCTCCTCAGTGTTTGATTTGGCTGCTTTCTCATAAACCCCCACACAGGCCCCTTCGAGGGCCCCCTCAGTGCACACTCTCCCTTTGTCCAGAGCCTGGCAGTGGCTCCTGGCTACCATCTCCTCCCACCCTGGAGCCAGCTGTTCTTGGCAAGCTCTGCCTGGTCCCAGAGCCAGCCCCCAGAGTGCAGCGCACACCCTGCCCCCGCCACCCCCCAGGCCGCAGATACTTAGGCTATACTCTGTACACCACCTTTTTTTTTTTCTTAAAATATATTTTCCAATAATTTATATTTCCTTTAAAATGGTAGTATTCCTTACACAAGTACTACAAACAACGTGGGCACCTAGATTAGCTCTTCTTCCAGAGGAAACCGCTGGGCTTCTCAGGTGGGCACCCTCCCTTCCAGAACTCTCCCTATACATCTCTAGAATTGGCCATATAGAAACAAACCAATTAGTATTCTACACAGTGGATCACACTGCCTGTATTGTTCTGAAGCCAGCTTTTTTATTTCATAATAGTTTGAGAGACCCTCCAGATTAGTACTGTTTATTGTTGAAATAAACAGTAGAGGTCTGCCCTGTAGAGGTCTGCCCTGTCTCTTCCTTGCTTGGGTCTCTAGTGAGCCAACGCGTGGGGTAGAGGTCTGTCTGGTCTTGCTATTGCATGTGCAGGGGTCTCTAAGGTAGATGCCATGCTGCACCTTCCACACATGTGAAATCTTAATAGAATCTGCTGTTCTGCTAAATGGTTGTGCTATTTCCCATCCCACCCTCAGGTACTATCTCCCTTGCAGGTGCGTTCCAAGGAAGATGGCCAGCTCTATGCCATAAAGCGTTCCATGTCACCATTCCGGGGCCCCAAGGACCGGGCCCGAAAGCTGGCTGAGGTCAGTGGCCATGAGAAGGTGGGGCAGCACCCATGCTGTGTGCGGCTGGAGCGAGCCTGGGAGGAGGGCGGCATCCTGTACCTGCAGACAGAGCTGTGTGGGCCCAGCCTGCAGCAGCACTGTGAGGCCTGGGGCACTGGCCTGCCTGAGGCCCAGGTCTGGGGCTACCTGCGGGATACCCTCCTCGCTCTGGCCCACCTGCATGGCCAAGGCCTGGTCCACCTTGACATCAAGCCTGCCAACATCTTCCTGGGGTCCCGGGGCCGCTGCAAAGTGGGTGACTTTGGGCTGCTGGTGGAGCTGGATGAATCTGGAGCTGGTGAGGCCCAGGAGGGAGACCCCCGCTACATGGCCCCCGAGCTGCTGCAGGGCTCCTATGGGACAGCAGCCGATGTGTTCAGGTAAGGGCTGGGCCATGGGAGGCCCTTCATGGCTGGGGTGCAGTCAGCAGAGGGAGGGAAATGCCATCCTAGCCCAAAGTCAGGAAGATTTGGCCTCAGGCTGGGAGACAGTGCCCTGAGGGGGTGAAGCTACCACCCTCTAGTTGAGGGTAGTCTACAGTCAGGCTGTCTAAGCAGCAAATCATCTGGAGTTACTTTACTAGATTCACCCATCTCTTTACCACATCTCCATGGAGGGACTATTATTACTCCATTTATAGGGGAATGGGCACAGTGGGGTTAAAGGACTTGCCCAGAGTCCACAGTTAGCAGGGGGTGAAGCTGGGACTAGACCAGGCACTGGGTTCCATGATGCATGTCAGTAACCATTGCTCTGCCTCTAACCGTCTATCCAGCCATATCTACAGAATCCTGATAGTAACACTAGCAACTATAGTGTCTATCTGGCAGGGGTGCCAGGAGAATTCATCGCAGTGGTTTGTGGGCTGCACTGAACACTGGGTCCATGCTTCATGAATGTGTTCCCCTCATTGGCTCTGCTGGGGCCTTCTCCAAGCCCCCAGCCACCCCTTCCCCACCTGCCTGGCTCATGGTAGAAGACAGCGGCTCTTTCCACCCTCTTCTGAGGGGCATCCTGGGGCTCTGGGATCTGTGGCCCAAGGCTAACCTTGTCTGTCTTCTGTCCCTGTCTCCACTCCCCTTCCCCCCCAGTCTGGGTCTCACCATCCTGGAAGTGGCGTGCAACATGGAGCTGCCCCATGGTGGAGAGGGCTGGCAGCAGCTGCGCCAGGGCTACTTGCCCCCTGAATTCACTGCCGGTGAGTGGTGGTGGTGGTGGTGGGGGCGGGGACATGGTGCTACAGACTTGTGTGAGGAAATGGTTGGTTGTAAGGAGACTGCTGGGCTCAGAGCCCAGTTACCCTTGACATAGTTCTACCCTGTGGACAGGCCTGTCTTCTGAGCTGCGGTCTGTCCTCAGCATGATGCTGGAGCCTGACCCCAAGCTGCGGGCCACAGCTGAGACCCTGCTGGCCCTGCCTATGCTCAGGCAGCCACAGCCCTGGAGTGTCCTGTGGTACATGGCTGCTGAAGCCCTGAGCCGAGGGTGGGCCCTTTGGCAGGTAAGACTGGTGAAGGTAACAGACTACCCTGCTTCTGGCCCTGGATTCTGTCCAGCCTCCCTTGGCCCCCTGTCCCCACAGGCCCTGCTTGCCCTGCTGTGCTGGCTCTGGCATGGGCTGGCTCACCCTGCCAGCTGGCTACAGCCCCTGAGGCCTCCAGCCACCCCGCCCAGCTCGCCATCCTACAGCTTCCTCCTGGACAACAGCCACTCCAGCAACTGGGATGACGACAGCATAGGGTGGGTGAGAGCTCAGGACTGATGGGCAGGGGTCGGGAGACGTGCTGTCAGCTTGGCCAAACCCCATACAGAGGCCAGGCTCCATGGGGATTAGTGGTGAACAGGGACCCTCCCATAAACCTGGCCCCCATCATACCCTGGGAAGGGCACCAAGGCTGGTGGGAGGACAGCCCGGCCTGGTTTGAATGCAGTTGTTTCTTCTGAGCTCAGAACATGGAACAGCTGCTGTGCAGAGCACAGCAGAATGGCAACTTCACACTTAGGGCACTGCCACACTAGGGAGAGGCAGGTGGTACAGCTCCAACCGCAGTTCAGGCTGCCAGTGCCCAAGGACAAGGCATTGTCCTTTTCAGGGGACAAAGTTCCCAGAGCCTGGTGAGCCCCCATCCTGGGGGGAATTCCTTAGTCCCAGATGCCTGGTGGCCAAGTGAGAGGCTATAATTAAGAAACTGTGGCAAAGGAAAACCACATGCTCAGGGCAGACAGTTCTCAGGAGAAATCACACCGTTAACCCTTCCTTATGAAAGTGTCATCACAGTGCAGCCCCGCTGGGCGGCTCCGTTAGTTGGATCATTGTCCTATACACCAAAAGGTCGTGGTTTTGATTTCCGGTCAAGGCATACACATAGGTTTCGGGTTCCATCCCTTGTCAGGGTGCCTATGGGAGGCAGTCTGTTGGTGTTTCTCTCACATTGAAGTTTCTCTTTCCCTTTCTCTCTCTCTCAAAAAAAATCAATAAACAAAACATCCTTAGGTGAGAATTAAAAAGAAAATGTCACCCTGTTGTCATAGGGACACTTTATAGCAGAAGAGAAGTGCAAAATAAGCTTCATTTACCACAGGCTCACGTCAAAGCCAGCTCAATTGAAGCCATGTGTTCTGGAAAGGGACTAGGTGATCGGGGAGACTTTAAAAGTTGTGCGAATGGTTCTTTCAAAGGGCACCACACTTCGTTGCCTGTGTCCAGTAGGAACCTACACAGGGACAGGGTTGATTGTGCTGTTCCCACAGCCTCCTCCCCATGCACTCCCCACTGCTTTGACACCCTGCTTGTCTTGCCCACCCCGTGCAGACCCTCATTCTCTCCAGAGGCCATCCTGGCCAGGACTGCCAGGAGCACCTCCTCCACTCCCCAGAGGAGGCAAACACTGAGGTGGGTAGGCCCAGGGTCAGAGGTAGGGAGGGGGGAAGGTCCTTTCAAATCCTGAGTGTCATTTCTCTCTCTTCTATCCCCTAGGGATGACCTGGACCTAAGTGACATTGACTCAGAGTCCCCTCAGGGCTCCTTCCCCTCCTTTGAGCCTCGGAACCTCCTCAGCCTGTTTGAGGACTCACTGGGCCCAACCTGAGCCCATTGCAGCCTTGGTGCTTTTAACCTTTTAGCTCCTTCCCCCATCCTGGAGGTTGGGGTCCCTCTGGGCACTCCCGTGGTCCCTTCTGCCTGGCCATGTCTAATAAAAGATATCTGAATCTTGGGAGCACCCAAGCTTGCTTGCATGGCAACACAGCACTTCCTGCCCATTTTATTGACATCGCCCAGGGTCTGAGGGCCCTGGGACGGGCTGAGGCTGAGGCTGGCTGCAGAGCCCCAGGCCAGCACATTGCAGCTGGGGCCCCATGCTGTGTGGACCAGAGGTTTCCTGAGCAGGCGTGTCCCCGGTGGGCAGGTTGAGCCTTCAGAACATGGCACTCAAGGTGGAGGGTGGGCCCTTAGCCCAGTGGTCCAGGGCCACTCAACTCTTCACATCTGTGCCAGTTGCCTGGGAAAAGCAGCAGCAGTCTTCCTGCCCCTCGGTCCTGGGATCAATGGATAGTCCTGCTGTCCAAACCCCACTCCATTCTGGACAGAGGAAGAAGGGGTGGGTGAGCCTTAGGTTGCTGGATGGGCTGGCATGCAGGGCCAAAATATGGAGGAATCGTGGACTGGTGGCCAGGCCAGCCACCCATGAGGTACCTTAGAAGGGGGAGGGTGGGGCTATGGCTCTGGGCTGGCAGGACTCCAGCCATCAGAGCTAGATGGACCCAAACATCCCTCTGGTCCAACCCTCACAGGTCATAGAGGATAAACAGGCCATTAGAAGGACCGGTTTCCTTCTAGCTGCACAGGAAGACACTGCCCTGGAAGAAGGCGGGGAAGGAAGCTGGAGCTCCGAGGTGTGGGTGGAGGAGAGGCTCGTCCATAGGGAAGAATGGGTGAACAGCTGGGAGGCATCCAAGGAGCCAGTCCCTTGCAGACCAGCAGGAGGAGGGAAGCCTGGTGGTGTTGGCCCTAGAAGACTGGACAGGCTGGCACTGTGTGTGGGCCATGGCTCAGTCTGGGGGACAGGCGTGGTGGGCGGCCCAGAGCAGGTCAGGCACGACGCCAGCGTGCAGCTGCAGGATGGAGCCCACACTGAGCAGGTGCATGATCTGGTGTGAATTGCCCCAGTAGTCGAAGCGGCCTGGTCCCCAGCGCTCTGGCAGACGGGCCACGTTCACTAGCCCCCCAAGCAGTGCTAGGGCATCCATGCGCAGGTAACAGGGCAGGGAGCCTGGAGCTCCAGAGCCCAGTCCCACTCCCCGGGCTCCAAACACCAGGAGGCGGGCACCAGCCTGCCAACCAAAAGCTCGAAGACGGGCACTGGTGGAGGGAGCGGTGAGGGCCCTCCAGCCAGCCACACCTGACAGCATGGTGTAGCCCACCAGGGCAGCTGGGCGCAGCCAGGGCCTGCAGGCCAGGGTGCAGTGGATGATAGGCAGGGCCCCTGCACAGAGGAGAGAGGCAGGAGAGGGCACATCAGTTTGGGGACTGCCTGCCCTTTCATGTGAGTGTCCCCTGCTGCCCCCTCCCCAGTTGCCCCCCAGCTTCCATTCTTCTAGCCCCCGCACCCCATCCTTTGGCTCACCGAGGGTGTTGACGAGGCAGACCCCACACATATCCAGGGCAAGGAGCCGAGTGTACACAGGGCTGCCCCCTTGATGGCACATGAAGAGATGATAGAGCACAGAGCCTGCAGGTGGTGCCAGGCAGGCCACACAGTGTGTGCCCCCCAGCCAGCCATCCTTGCCCAGCTGACCCCAGGGCATGGTCATTGGCAGCAGCACCAGGAAGCCCAGCAGGGCCAGCCCTGGGGGAGGGAAACAGTTATCCATCACACAGCTTCAGCAGAGAGGACAGGTAATGTCCTCAGGGAGTCCACAGTCTAGAGACAACATGAAAGGAATGAGAGCAAGACAGGTCTTGACAACAGTGATAGACAACTATCGCCAGACGTGGGACAGAGGCAGGCCCTGGGTTTTCGGAACTTTACTTACTCAGCAGGCTCACAATAGTTCTGGAAGTAGAAGAGATTACGCCCACTTTGCAGCTGAGGAAACTGTCCCAGGTGAGTAGGAGAGAGACCAGGCATTCTAACTCCCAGGCTGCTCTCACCCCTGCAGCCACATTACATCACCTCCCCAGAAAGCCACGGCCCCCAACCCCCAACCTGCCCTCTGTGTCAGCAGAGGCCAGAAGGAGGCGTGACTCAAGCTGAGTTCTGGAAAGAACACGTGGGCAATGATACCAGATCCCAGGACAACTTAGCTTGTTCCTGCCAACCCCATGTCCTCTCCATAAGTGACCAGACAAATGAAGGCTTTGAGCCCTTATCTTTCAAAAGGGGCGAGGCAAGGCAGGGGAAGGGGGCAGAAAGGAGTTTGTTCCATCTCCCCAGCACCTCTCCTGGGCGCTCAATTCCTCCCAGCTCAGGCGTCCTACCTTTCCCTGCTGGCTGTCCAGCATTGCCCTCACAGGGGTCAAAGGTGGGCACTGCAGGCTGGGGCCGCTGACTGCACTATCGGCAGGGTCTGACCAGGCCACAGTCCCCCAGTGGGACAGGTACCAAGGCTGGGCCCAGCCTGCTCAGGGGCCCTCTCTGCCGGGACAGGCCAAGGACGTACAAGGCTGTGTCAGCACAGCTCCACGGGGCCGCGGAGGAGGGGCCCCGACGCCTGTGGGGCGGGGTGGGTGGGGGGAGGTGTTCCACCAGGCGGAGCCCCAAAGACTGGGCTGCTCTGATGGGGTAACAGGGCGGCTACGCGGGGAGGGGCCGGGGCCTGGCTTTTGCTCCTGGATTACTTCTTGCCCAACTCAACACCCAGGTCCGGACGGGCGCAGGCAGGAGTGGGGAAGGGGGCGGGGAGATGTGCAGGGGGCCGGGATTACGAAGGGGCTGTACACCAGGCTGCTTCTCCCCGGGGCTCAGAGGGATTAAGTGGACTCGGTCCCCCACTCTGCTTCCCTTGCCTGCCCGGGGGCCCCGCCGGGGTAGCGGAAGCAGGTAGCGCCGTCCGGGACAATGGCAGCTTTGTCACCGCGGCTCCTGGCTGTGCCAGGGCCGGGGCAGCCCAGGATCGGGTCACTGGGGCGCTCCTCGGCCTTCCGGCCACCGGCCCGGCGCAGGCAGAGCTACCGCGGGTATGGGATGCGGGCGCAGCTCACCGTGCGTGTAGATGTTGCCCAGCTCGTTGTGCAGGTAGAAGAGGCTGCGCAGGCAGCCTGAGCCGCTACTGGCTGGCCGGTAGCCGGTCAACACGAACTTGTTGAACTGCAGGTGCGGCGGCGAGCTGGCCCAGTCCAGCAGGCGCGGCCCGGCCAGGAACGCCATGGCCTGGCCAAGCGCGGGCGGCCCGCGCAGCTCTGAACCCGGGGCCTCTTCAGTGGGGCTGCAGCGGCGCGAGGCTCATCCCTGCGCCTGCCCACGGTCCAGGGCTCGGTCCGCGCACGCGCCGGCCCGGGGGTCCCTGCTCGTGCCCCTCCTGCGCTGCGCAAGCGCGGGCCCTGCGCCCCCGCGTCAGGGCGGAGGCTGGGAACGCGCTGGCCTCCCGAGCGCAGTGCGGCCCGCTCCGCCCGTGCAGGCGCCAGCAGGGACAGCTCGCCGGCAGCTGCAGCAGCGACCAGAAGTCCTCTGAAGCCCTGAGGAAGGGTGCGGCCGGACGCGGGACGGGACGCAAGGCTCCGCCCCAACTAACCACCCCCTCCATCCCACCAACGTTTCGCGCGCTGAGCTCCAGACCTAGACGCTGTGAGAGCCAATAGGTACAGCTGGTGGGGGAGGCCCCGCCCCGAGGCTTCCCAGGCCATCACCCTCTTAGCATAATATATGCGGTGCCCGTCTCAATTGCATGGAGTGGCTGTTGGCTTGGGACCCAACTTTCTGGGTGCCGGTGGCTTTGCTGGAGTGGCCCCAGAACCTTGCGTCCTCCCGCAGTGCGCGCCCCGGCTTTCCGAACTACTCCCAGGTCAACGCACCCTTGGGCGGCCACCCTCCCCAGCACCGCCCCACACCCAACGCTACCCTCGCAGCCTGGGCTCTGTCCACGGTGCTGCCAGCCCGGGCCGTTCGGACAGGTCAGGTCTAGAGCCGGCACCCCCCCACTCCAGGGATGATCTATCCACAGGCCTGGCTCCCCTGGAGCGCGGCAAGGCGCGCCGAGATGTCTCCTACAGTGTTCCTGACATTCCAGGCGCCATCGGGAGAGGCCCTGCCCTTTGGACCGTCTTCGAGCTCAACAAAACTCACTCTATTATCGCCCACAACCTACACTTTCCGCCCCGCCCAGGACAGGCAGGAAATGGAGGGGAAGAAAGAGGGCAAGTGGCCAGGGAAGAAAGTTCATTCCCTGCCTGGGTTCATACTAAGGTGGGGCCCAGGAAGGCATCTCTTCTTCTGCTTAATCTGGCTCAGCCTCACCAGCCTGCCTTTCCCCTCGCCGCCCTTCTCTAGGACCCCGCCCACCCATCCTTCTGCAGGCATTCCTCAGCCCTCTGCATTTCAGTTGGCTCCCAGGAACTGCGTGGAACGCCCTCAACTTGCATGGACACACCCAACCCTTCGCTTCAGTATCATCAACATAATTTCCCACCACTTAAGAATTTGCAGAGCCCTATACCAAAATAGGTCCTTTATTCAAAGTCTGTGTCTGGTCTTTTGACCACTTTTGTTGACCTCTCACATTTCACGTAAGGCAGCAGTCCAGGACTACCCCCAGAGGGGCTCAAAGACCCTGAAATCAGAGAGCTCCTTATCAAGGTCTATGAGGAGGGGAGCCGATTCCTCTTGCCATTTGGCCTGGACCATCTGGACACCCAGAGTTAGGCCAAGTTCCCAATAATAGTACCAGATGCTTCCAGTCCGACGACTGGCCTCTGAGAGATGAACAGAGGCAGAGCTGCCCTTAACAAACTGGAAGGCCAAGGCAGAGCGCAGCATGGAGTCTCTGGTGTCCATCACACTGTTGGAGGATCCAATGGACCCTGGGGGTCCTGAGTCAGAGAGCAGAGATGAGCGAACGCAGGGAACTCTGGCTGGAGGCGCTCAGGGGGCGGTAAGTGGAGGCTAGACCCTCAGCCTGGGAGTCCCCCGGGGGGCAGGGCAGTGCCACCCCTCCAGGTCGGCGGTACCACACAGCCCAACTTCTCCCAGAGCCCTGGGAAGGCCTCAAGGGTGGGGGCCCTTTTCCTGGAGCCAGTAGACAGCTCCTAGAGAGGGAGCAGACATCAGCCAAAGACCCAACCAGTCTCACCCCCAGCATCCTGCTTCGCCTGTGATCCCAGGCTCGATTTCCTGTGTAGACCCAAGGTCCCTCAAGAGCCTAGGAGTTTCAGCTCCATTCCTCTGGGTCGCAGCTTCCCACCAGACCGCCCCCCCCCCCCACGCCCACGCCGCCACTCCAGTCCCCCACCACGCGCCTGGGCACCGAGGCATCAAGTATCAGGTGCCCGACTGCCCAGCTGGGTCACCCTCAGGCCCTGCCCCAGCGTGCGCACCGTCGGCGCAGCAGGCGTAGCAGCGACAGCAGTAGCAGCAGCAGCAGCAGCAGCAGCAGCAACACTGAGATGGCCATCACTGTCGAGAAGACCCGGGCTGTGGGCACACAGGCGCGGTGAGGACAGGGCTCCAGAGAGCGCTGCTTCCCAAACTCCCGCCCTCCTCAAGCTCCTGCCTCACCCCCCATTGTGGCCTCCGGAGCCCCAAGCCGGGGGCTGCAGCTCACATTAGTCCCGTCGGGGAGCACTGCAGGGGTCTGGGCCGAGCCCTTGGGGAGCACCGGGTTCTCCGAAGCATCCTGCACGCCTGTGGAGAGGGGTGTGAGGCAGCGTGGCTGTGGGGCAAGCCCCGGGGGGATGGGGCGGGGCCTCACCTCGGTAGGTGAGTGCGAAGCCCTGCGCGTGGCCACGCGCGTCGCTGCGGAAGGTGAGCAGCAGCGCAGCGGCGCGCAGGTGCAGCGTCCCAGTGGGCGGCGGGCGGGCGCCGTCGAAGGCTCGGAGCAGGCTGCCCGAGGCCGCGTCGCGCAGCTCCAGGCGGTCGCGCTGGTCTGCCAGCTCGAAGAGGCGGAAGGTGAGCTCCAGAGCTGCGCCCGGCGGGCCAAGAGCCCAGCTGCAGTTCTGGTCCGGCCCGTACTCATCCGGGAAGTCCGGGGAGTAGATGACGCCCTGCGGCGCAGTCCAGTTCCCCTGGCAGGAGCCCACCGACACTGGGGGCGGGGCCGGCGGTCAGAACCCGGAGACCCTGGGGCCACTTCACGGGGCGGAGCTCTACCCCAAAGCCCCGCCTCCTCCCGGCCCGGCCCCGCCCCCAGCTGACCCCGGGCTTCCTCGGGGCCCCTTCCCTTCATCCCCCTCCGCAAACCCTGTTCCGTCCTAGACCCCGCCCTCGGCCCAGTCCCTTCTCCAGGCCCCGCCTCCAGCCCACTTCCCTTCTCAGGCCCCGCCCCCATCCCACTTCCCTTCTCAGGCCCCGCCCCCAGCCCAAGTCCCTTCTCAGGCCCCGCCCCCAGCCCAAGTCCCCTCTCCAGGCCCCGCCCCCAGCCCACTTCCCTTCTCAGGCCCCGCCCCCCGCCTCCCTTCCCTTTACCTTCTTGCCCACGTTTCGCCCCGTCCTCACCTTCGTAGACTCCCAGGCGCCCATCGCCGCCGCACAGCTGGCCGGGGTGGCCGAAGCAGATCTGGTCACAGTCGGTGGCCGGCGCTGGGCGACCCCGAGCCAAGTCGCTCTCGGAGCCACAGAAGCAGGCGTAGCCAGCTTCCACTCCCGCCAGCTGGGGGCACAGAGTGGGTGACGCCAGGGGCAAGGCCTGGGGTACGGGCAGGGCAGTGGGCGCTCGGGGTCGGGCTCGGAAGTGGGAAGCGGCCCAGAGGCCCAGAGATGAGTATCAAGGTTTGGTGTCAGCGCTGGGAGTTGTTCTGGGCCCTGATTTCAGTCAAGGTCAGGGGCCACTGGCCGGGGCCGGTGGACAGTACCTGGTAGCCCTTCATGCGGCAGAAGCGGAGGCACACCTGGACCGTGAGCTTCGTAGAGGTGCCGCTGGGGCCGCTGAGGGCCGGGGGGGCTCCCGAGTCCACGAAGCAGCCCAGGTAGCCGGGCACTGAGGGGGGCAGGGGACGCGGGGTCTGTCTGGCGCCTTCCCTCGGGAACTGCACGCAGGCAGCCCGCGCTCGCCCGTGTCCAGCTGCCCACTCACTGTGACAGGTGGGGATGTCGCAGTAGCGCCAGTAGATGCCCTCCTCGGTCTCGGCCACGTAGCACCACGGCTGCACGTCGCCATCTGGGTTCCTGCGGGCGGGGAGGTGGTCCAGACCCCGCTGCCCGCAAATCCCACACTCCATCCCCGCCCCCCGAGGTGCAGCAACTCCCTGTTCTGCGCGTAGACGTCCACGCGGACGGCGGGAAGTCATGAAGGGCCCCGAGGGCAGGTTTTAGGCATTCGGCTGCGGACTGTGCCTTTGCAGTGCTCCTCCCCCACCGCGCCGAGGGCCTCGGCCGCTGCCTGGCCTTCGAGCCCCGCTTCCCAGCAGAAGTGGTGACTTCTACCCGCAGAGAAGTGTCCTCCCGCTCAGCTCGGTCCCTGCTGCTCCCGACAGCAGCTGTGTCTCTGAACCCCAAGTCCCTGGGTCACCGCCAGTGGGTGCCCCTCAAAGAAGCTGTAGGGCAAGGCCCGGCCCCTCACGCCGGAGATTGCTTCCTGGCCCCATCCACACGGGCCCTCCGGTACCCAGGCCTGCACAGAAGCTGGCACCTAAAGCCGGACCCGCGTCAGAAAATGTGAGCGCCCAGCGCAGGCCGAGGCCTGTCCCATACCCTTCCGCTGGGCCGGTCCAACCGAGGCCTCTTCTCCCGGGTCCCGGCCCCCAGCCCGGGCCTCAGGCCCACGCCCGAAATAGTGGACTCAGACCCGCCCCCAATAAGACCCCGCCCCTAAAGGCCCCGCCCCCAATAGGCCACGCCCCGGCCCGCCCCTCACCGGCAGAAGTTGTGCGCTCCCAGCCCCCAGCGACCCTGGGGGTCTCTGGCGCTGCTGTAGCTGTGCTGCTGCGTCTGGTCCCAGAAGAGGCACGGGCGGCCGGTCCCGCGCGGGCCTGTGCGGTTCTGGCGGCCGCGGTAGTCGGCGCCATTCACCTGGAAGCACTCGGACAGGCCTGCACGGCGACGGCAGGGCCTTGGGAGGTTCGGAGCCTCGCCCGACATCCTAAGGGTCCCTCCCTCCCTACACGAGGCCAACTCCTGCCCGGCTCCGCAGCTAGCGCCCCTGGTGTCCCCGGGGCCCTGGGCCTGCTCGGCTGCTCCCGCCACCTGCTCTGACCCCTCCCCAGGCTCAGGACCCGGGTCCAAGGCGGGGAGGCGAAGGAGGGAGTGCGACCAAGGCGCAGTCATCCGGCCAAGACTCACCTGGGGTATGCAGGCTCCCCGCGGAGGCCCCGCGTGGCGACAGCATTGCGAGGAGAAGGAGGAGGAGAAGGAGGAGGCTCTGCGGGGCTCCTGTCCCCATCGCCCCCAACCTAGGAGAGGTCGCCCAGGCCTGCATACGACCTGTGCCACCCCCGGGGTCGCTTCGGGGTCTCCCAGGCGACCTGGGGGGAGGCGTTGTCCTCTGACCTTGAATCCTCGTCCCACTCTGGGCAGCACTCTCGTCTGGGGCGGGGAAGTGTCTCCCGGGGGATTTGCCTCCCAGGGTTTCTGCTCCTGGAGGCCCCTCTCTGCCCTGTCCAGCCTGGGGGTCTCCCGGGGGATCCCTGGCCAGGCTTCTCCGTCTCCGCCTCTGGAGCTCAGGGTCTGGCCTGGGCCTCCACACCTTCCTCCTCCCGCTGCACCTCGCTCTCTGAGGTCCCCTAGCCCAGCATCTAATGCGCTGCTCCTGCCCCCCTCGTGTCCCTCCCTCCTGGGTCCCTCCCTCCCACCCCCCATCCCTGAGGCCGGGAAGCCCCGCCCGAGACTGGAGCGAAGACAGCAGGTCCGGACGCCTTCCTCACTTGCCCTGGGACCCTCGGCGTCCAGGAGCGCGCCTCCCCCCGCCCCTCCCAGAGTGAGTGCAGGCTCCCGTGGCGTGTGTGGGGAGGACCCTAAGGGGGAGATCCAGGACCCTCCCCCCAGCCACACGCCCCGGGACGCCGTTCACAAGCACCCTTAGAGGAAACGCACGCATCCCTCCCACTCGGTCACCCACTCGGTTGTCAGACACACACGTACCCTCTTTCAGATCCTCACGCCCTTCGCTCCCCAGGTCCCGACGCCTCTGGCCTGATGGAGGGGGTGCCACTCCCGGCCCCTGCACCCTCCAGACAGGCGGGGCTGGTGGACACTCAGTCCTGGACAGGCAGGGGCAGCTGGTGTCTGGGGAAGAAGGCAGCTGCGCCCCTGGTCCCAGCCTGACCCTTTCTCTCCTCCCCCTTCTTTCCGAGACCCCCCAGCCCAGGCTCGCCGGAGCCCTCGCAGCGCGATGGAATTCCCCGGCTGTACCCCTGCCCCCGGCGCGGGAGGGGGAGGGTAACAGGCCCGGGCAGGCGTGGGGGGAAATTCCCCGCCCCCTCCCCCTGGGCCCCACTCCTCTGAGTTCTCTGATCTTCCAGCGCCGCCCGCCGGCTGCCCCCAGGGCTTGGGGGGAGGCCAGCGCAGGTGCGTTGGAGGGTGAGGGAGGGGACAGGGAGGAGAGGGGTGGTGGCTGGAGGCTCAGAACGGATCCGTCCCTCCCAGAACCCTAGCCCCTCAGTCTAGCTAGCCCCTCACCGGGTCCACACCCGGCTATCCATCCTGGGAGGACCTGTCTCCACTAGGTCAGTAGCCCCCCAAGATGGGGGGGGGGCCGCAGGGAAGATTCTAGAAAGATGCAGCTGTGATGAGACAGAAGACCTCATAGTTCGTGCCTCACACGCAGGCTCTTGGGTGGGTGGCACAGAGGGGAGCATTCAAAGGAGGAGGGCTTGCTGAGGGTCAAGGCTGGCACCGGAGTGCCTCCTGAGGGCACCCGGTCAGCAGCCAGGCTGGCCCGGGCTCGCTTCCTACTTTCAGGCACTTGACTAGGAGTTTGGTAACTGGTGACCCGTGGCCTGGTCCTCTTCTCCTTCCGGCCTGCGAGCACCCTCACTGCAAAGGCTCGGTGGCATCACAGAGAGCATCCCAGGGCCGCAAGCCTGGGCCAGGGTGATGGGGTGCACTGAGAGCCTCCCCACCTGCTGTCACAGCCTGTCAAGGGAAGGGTGAGTGTGGGATGGGACAGCCCGGTCCCCATGTGAAGAATGGGGCCCAGTGGGGGGTTAGAAGAGGAACTGGCCCCTTCCCTGAAGGGAGGTTGGACCAAAAAGGACTGTCCATTCGGTCCACAGCACTTCCATCGCCCACTCCGCTCCCTACTGCCTCAGCCTCCTGCAGAGGGTGGGTGGGATGAGAGGAAGGGGGTGCTCAGCTCCAGGACTCAGGCTCTGAAAGGAGGCTCATGGGCCCTCCAAGGAAGGCCAGGGCCCTTGCCCCTGCTGAGGGGACCCACAGACCGGGGAATTAAACAATAGAAATGCATTGTTTCACAGTCTGGAGGCAAGAAGTCTTCCGAGAGCTGTGAGGGAGAACCTGTTCCATTCCTCAGGATTGGATTAGGGCTCTTCCTACTCCAGGATGACCTCATCTTAACTAAATACAACTGCTACAGCCTCATAGCTGAGTTGTATGGTATGTGGACTATCTATCTATCTGAAAGCCTAAGTAACCGAGCGACCAAACGACTGGTCACTATGACGTGCACTGACCATCAGGGAGCAGACACTCAATGCAGCAGCTGCCCCTGGTGGTCAGTGCACTCCCACAGTGCGAGTGCCGCTCAGCTGACCTTCGGGTGCTAGGCGCTGGGCGGCAGGCACAGCTGGGTCTGGATGAGCAGGGAGGGCTCAGGCTTCTCAAAGGCCACCTGCTGCTTTGGTCACTACTACATCCTTCGAGGGATATCGGACTGCTGTTTTCAGCCGCTCCCCACAGGGCCTGGCCTGTGGGGATTGGGCCTAAACCAGCAGTCCGACATCCCCCGAGGGATCTGGATTGCAAGAGGGCACAGGCCAGGCTGAGGGACCCCACGGGTGCATGAATCCATGCACTGGGCCTCTAGTATCTCAATAAAGCTTTTACTAAAAACAGAAACAAAAAGAACTAGGCAGGATGGCTCTGGTGGACACAACTGATGGGGCATTTAGGGACAGGCAGGACCATGTCGAGGATGGCTCTGCGTTCTACTTGTGTCCTGGGGCCTTCAGATGAGGACAACAGGTAGACACTCCCTTTTGCTGCCTGCCTCTGGTGCTCACCGGACACCCAGGGCCAGGGCCCCTGGAGGCAGCAGGACTCACAGCTTTGGTTGCAGAAAGGAGGGCCAAGCTGGTGCTGCAGGCTGACAAACCATGAACCTTGAAAGTGGTTGGGCCCAAAAGGACCGAGGTCCAGTTTCCAGAACACCAACCTCCGGGCTTATAGGTTGGGTGGAGGGGCAGAGAATCCCTTGAGGGAGACTGGGAGGGAATGAAGGGATGGGGTGGTGAGCCCAGAGGAGGGATCGAGGAGGAGGTGGTCAGTGCCAGAGGGCGAGCTCTGAGAAGCATCTGCTGACTTTAATGAAAAGGGGGTCCTTAGCGGCACCCTACAAAAGTCTTCCTGACAGAGGACATGGGGACAGGAGGCTGGGCTGGGGCCAGAAGGGGGAGGGGGGTTATGAGAAACATTTCTATGATGCTCACCTTACAACCTTGGGGACAGGGACTGGGGACTGAGACTCCTACAGCCAGCCACTGTGCCCCACTTTTAAAATTTGAGTTCCTTGTTGATAATTTCACTAATCCTTGTGAACTTTTAATTTTATAATTGAGACATCGATGTGAACTGTCATGCAAAGGGGCACAGAGACACCACCCACACCACATGGTGCAGCCATAATAGAATAAGGTTTATTGGCGGAAACTAGCAGCAGAGTGGGAGCAGGGAAGGAAAGCACAACTCCTCTGAGATGACGCTGTCTGCAGAGGGGACACCAGCTTCCAAGAGAGGGATCCGCCCTATGCACTTTGCCGTGACAGTGATGGAGCAAGGGACATCTCTGTGGCTTTTGAACCATGGAGGAAGTGGACTTAGAAGACACTTCTGGAGTTCAGCAGCTAAGTGGCCATGGGGCCACCCAAGGTGATGGGAGTGTGCAAATTCATGTCCATCGGCATCCTTAGTCTGAGCAACATGGACCATCCATCTGTCCTCTAAGGTCAAAGCAGGTGTGGCGAAGAGTAAGAGTGTACCGGCTCCATCAATATGAACGTCCAGGAGGAAAGAGAGGCCTGCATCCTCTTTAGATTCTTCTCACACTGCACCCCAACTTCTGGGTGCCTAGAACCCAGCCAAGGTGACAGCTGTGGGGCTTAGGGCTAGGGAAGTCGCCGGCCTGCAGACCCCACGGGAGAGGCACAGAGCAGGCTCTGCAGGTGGCAATGGCTGTGGCTCAGTGCTTCTCGCCAGGCACCTCAGGCCTGTGTGATTCCAGTGAAACTCCATTTTCCGACCATGTGCCATTGAGATACGTGGACTGTGTGGCTTTGGTGGCCTCTGTTGTTGCCAAGGGGAGTGGATGTACACGCCAGCTCTGCATGGTGAGTTATTAAATAAGGTTTATTGAGGGACATGAACAAGCAGAGGGACGGTGGGGGACGCGGAGATGTCACTGTCCCATAGAAGGGTGGCAGGCTCCATGGCCAGCTTGCCAGGAGAGGGAGAGCCTGCCATCTGTGCTCCCTCTGCAATCACAGGATAAGGGCCAGGAGCCTTGCTGTCAAAGACAAGTCCTCATGAGCAGCCAGCAGCCCCTGCCTCCCCTGGACCTGCTAGGCCAGCTCTGCTGTGACCAGGCTGGAGAAAGAGAAGCACGTCTGCCGCCACCCAGGCAGGAAGAGAGGCCTCAGATGAACGTGGCTGACCCAGGACACTGCGGCCTCAGCCAGATGGAGTCTGCTCCATGCTGACTGCCTGTGGACATCCGGGCTGGCTCCCACGGCCAGAAACAACTCCTGCCATGGGATCATGGACACTGGGTTTAAATGGGAAAACAGTGAGGGAAAAAGTCTGACAGTGTGTAGTGGCGCCTCTGGTTGGCGGGCTCTGTAACTGAGGGATGGCTGCGCCCCAGCAGCAGGTGGCCAAGGGGCACAAAGGCCCACGTGGCACCTGCCCAGAAAACACCTGAGTGGCCGGAGCCCGGCAGGGCAGGTCAGCTGAGCTCCAGAAATCGACAAGTTCCCCACACGTGCCCTGGCCAGAGCAGGGCCACACCCAGCGGGAAAGTCCTTGGCAAGTCTCGTGCTCTGGAAACAGATAGGTGTTTGTGGCTTGGGGCGGCAGAACAGGGAAGACTTTGTAAAAAGATGCTTCTTCAGATCTTTCGGAGGTCAGGCCTTCCCCACATCACGCACACCTTCACGCTGCCAGCTCCTGGCACTCCTCGCCTGCATGAAGACACCATCAGGCATTCCTCCTGGGAGGCCTCCTGAGGAGTGTGACGGCTGTTGATGCTTTGAAAGAGTGAGAAAGAGCTTTTGTCCAGCAGCAGCTAGTTTGGTGGGAAATGCCAGGGTCCTGTATGGACATGAAGTATCCTTGATGCCGGCGACACCAGTGGGAACGGAGGCTGGCCTCACTGAGACTCGCTGTTGGGTTTATGTGATTACAAAGAAACACATATTCATTATAAAAACCCAAACATTGCAGAAATAGGTAACACAGAAAGTTAAGGATTCCTGTAATACCTTTCCTTAGAGAAAAACCATCCGCTAGATCATTTTTATACACACATATATGCATACATCATATCAATTCTTTTAAAACATGAGTTTGCTCCATTGCCATAAAACTTGGGAATTCCTGGCTTTCCACACTAGCAAGTCCTGGGAGGAAACACCAACATGCCTACGAAGTCCCATGTCCTGCTCTGGACGTCTCTGGGCCTTTCCAAGATTCTGTCAGGAAAGACAGTTTTCCTCTGTTGCTGCAATAGGTTTAGAAAATGTTTACAAATTCCTTGATATTCCTCATTCCAAGTGGAAGAGCGTGATTCCTCTCCCTTGGGTGTGGTGACTGACTTCTAATGAACAGAGTAAAGCAAGAGTGACGGGATGTGACACTGGTTATAAAGCCCTGTGGCTTCCTTCCTTTTTTTTTTTTTTTTTTTTAAAGGGAAACAGCCTGCCTAGCTGGCTTGGCTCAGTGGATACAGCGTCAGCCTGAGGACCAAAAAGGGCACATGCACAGGTTGCGGGCTCGATCCCCAGCAAGGGGTGTGCAGGAGGCAGCCAATCAATGATTCTCTCTCATCATTGATGTTTCTTCTATCTAACTCTCCTTCTCCCTTCCTCTCTGAAGTCAATAAAAATATTCAATAAATAAGTAAATAAATAAAAATAAAGGAAAACAGCCTATTGGAAATATAATTAACTGGTCAAATTTTTATTTATTTCGAGAGAGAAGGGGGGGTGGTGGAGAGAGAGATTT